AATTCAGGTCTTGATCATCCTACGTTTTACTTGGCCTTTTCTTGTCTGTATTGTTTCGTGTTACCTCTCACCATCAGCGTCCATATTTTACTATGTAGTTCTGACAGGAGAAGCTTGCCCTAATATCTATTCAGGATAATGTCTCAGAATTTTCATGGATAACAGTATTTTATAGCACATCTATAAAAATACTAACATCGTGATTACAGCTGAAACATTCCCGATAATTACCACGTATAGTGATAATTCGTTTAATTGTTATAAAGAAACATATCCGAAAAAGAAGCAGGTCTTATATACTACATACGTATGTACATATGAAATATGTAACACGTATTTATATTACATATGATCATTCCTATTAATGTATGTACGTTACTTCAATAGTACACGAAGTTTGCATGTGACTGCAATCATTAATTACCACGTAAAGTGATAATTGATTTAATAGATGTAAGCAAAAAAAATCGAAACAAATGTAGTCTTATAATATATGTATAAATATATTTTTAGAAAGATGAATTGCTCGTAAATCTCTGTCTTTCATAATTATCACGTGTAGTGATAATTGATAAAATAGTTATAAAGAAATAAAATCGAAATAAATGTTGTCCTATAATAACACGTATATGTTTATAATATATATCTAGCATACTAGACTGTACCTTTCCACTTCGTATCTCATTATCACGTATAGTGATAATTGGTTTAATAGTTATAAATAAACAAACCGAAACAATTAGTTGTCCTATAGTAGCATTTATATATGAAATATGGAATATGTATTTATATTACATATCATCATTCCCTTAAATATACATATATTACTTCAGTAATATATATATTTAATATTCTTAACGTATTGGTAATGTTTGTGTATTTGAATAATTATCACGTATAATGATAACAATTTGAATAGTCGTAAAGAAACATATTTGAAAAAAAATTTAGTCTTATGCCATATTCTTAAGGAATAAGTGTATTTATGTTTAATATAATTTTTATTTCTTAAAATGTATGTTACTTCACTAATACGTATTACTAATATCGTTCGCTGGCGAATACTTGGATAATTATCACATGTAGCGATAACTAATCAAATAGTTATAAAGAAACATACTCGAAATAAAATTTAGTCTTACACCGTACACTTATGGAATATGTGTATTTATGTTAATATTTATAATATGTTACTTCAATAATATTAGTAAATAGAGTTCCATCCATTTTCGTAATTATCACGTATAGTGATAATTGATGTAATTGTTATAAAGAAACATATTCCAAATAAAATTTAGTCTTATGCCATACACTTATGGAATATGTGTATTTATGTTAAACATTACTACTCGCTTAAATGTATGCCTCAACAATGCTTAATATTTCGATAATTATCACGTATAGTGATAATTGATCTGAAAATTGTAAAGAAACATATTCGAACGAAATTTTGTCTTACACCATATACATTTGACATATAGATAGAACAAGCAATTATATTACATATCATACCCTTAAATGTATGCTACGTCAATAACAGGTATATTTAATATACATGACGTATTCTATATTTCGTTTCTGTTCTATTTGGGTAATTGTAATTATCACGTATAGTGATAACTGGTTTAATCGACATAAAGAAACATATTTGAAAGAAACTCGTCTTATATCATATATATATATGGAATATTTATATTTATGTTAAATATTATTCTTTTGAATGTATGCCACGTCAATACGTATATTTAATATACTTGACGGTCTTTAGAATCTAGTTCCCGACTATTTCGCATAATTATCACGTATAGTGATAATTGATTCAACAGTTATAAACAAATATATTCGAAAGAAATTTGTCTTATACCATATATATATATATATATATATAGAATATTTTTATTAATGTTACGTACCATTATTCCTATACATTATACGTACGTATATTTAATATACTTGACGTATTGTGTGATCTAATTCAGTTTTGTTTCGTACTATCACATATAGTGATAATCGATTTAATTGATATAAAGAAACATATTAGAACGAAATTTAGCCTTATACCATGTACACGAATACGTGTATTTATATTACATATCATTTCTTTAAATATATATGTTATTTCGATAACATTTAATATACTTGAGGTATAGTACGCCTTGACTAGGATAATTATCACGTACAGTGAGAATTGATTTAATTATTATAAAGAAACATATTTGAAAAGAATTTAGTTTTATACCATATTCGTATGGAATATGGAATATGTGTATTTATTAGATGGCATTGCCTAATTATCACGTGCATTGATAATTAATTTAATAGTTATAAAGTAATATATTCGAAAAAAATGTGCCTAAATATGAGACTTATGTTCTAACTTCTATCAGCTTTCAATCCTGTCTCGTGGTACTCAGTTCAATTTCGAGGTGTGGATATTCGTTGCAAGCTAGGAAACTTTAAGCATGATCACTGGCAATCAATCTGATTCGTGACTAAACTCACTTCTCTCGAATCATTCTCTTCTTTCTCTTTATTACGATTAGGATTTCGATTATTGGATTGCTCTATTAATTTATTTATTTACCCTCACTTAGGCGAAGCGTACATTTTATATTCCGATAAGGGATGGTCGTTAGAAGAAATTGCTCAATCACAATATATATGCACGCTGTATAACNATATTTAATATACATGACGTATTCTATATTTCGTTTCTGTTCTATTTGGGTAATTGTAATTATCACGTATAGTGATAACTGGTTTAATCGACATAAAGAAACATATTTGAAAGAAACTCGTCTTATATCATATATATATATGGAATATTTATATTTATGTTAAATATTATTCTTTTGAATGTATGCCACGTCAATACGTATATTTAATATACTTGACGGTCTTTAGAATCTAGTTCCCGACTATTTCGCATAATTATCACGTATAGTGATAATTGATTCAACAGTTATAAACAAATATATTCGAAAGAAATTTGTCTTATACCATATATATATATATATATATAGAATATTTTTATTAATGTTACGTACCATTATTCCTATACATTATACGTACGTATATTTAATATACTTGACGTATTGTGTGATCTAATTCAGTTTTGTTTCGTACTATCACATATAGTGATAATCGATTTAATTGATATAAAGAAACATATTAGAACGAAATTTAGCCTTATACCATGTACACGAATACGTGTATTTATATTACATATCATTTCTTTAAATATATATGTTATTTCGATAACATTTAATATACTTGAGGTATAGTACGCCTTGACTAGGATAATTATCACGTACAGTGAGAATTGATTTAATTATTATAAAGAAACATATTTGAAAAGAATTTAGTTTTATACCATATTCGTATGGAATATGGAATATGTGTATTTATTAGATGGCATTGCCTAATTATCACGTGCATTGATAATTAATTTAATAGTTATAAAGTAATATATTCGAAAAAAATGTGCCTAAATATGAGACTTATGTTCTAACTTCTATCAGCTTTCAATCCTGTCTCGTGGTACTCAGTTCAATTTCGAGGTGTGGATATTCGTTGCAAGCTAGGAAACTTTAAGCATGATCACTGGCAATCAATCTGATTCGTGACTAAACTCACTTCTCTCGAATCATTCTCTTCTTTCTCTTTATTACGATTAGGATTTCGATTATTGGATTGCTCTATTAATTTATTTATTTACCCTCACTTAGGCGAAGCGTACATTTTATATTCCGATAAGGGATGGTCGTTAGAAGAAATTGCTCAATCACAATATATATGCACGCTGTATAACCGATTACTGGATTCGAGTTTAATAATCTATTTTTAATAAAAATTAAGGGAATTTCTAAATTGTCTTCATCATCGTCATCGACGTCTCGCGTTTGATATTCCGTCGTGTTTTCTTCTTTCTGTACTTCTTCTCATTTTCTTTTTCTGTCTTAAAAGTTATTAGTGTAATCGATAATTAATCTGTTATTTTCTCGTCTCAACACGGCTCCGGGCGAGGGCCCGAGAAATTAATAATAATAATCATCATTATTTTCGTTCATCACGTCAATTAATAAATAGGAATAAATTTATTGATCGTTTTTCGGCAGCGCTCACCGCTGAAGTCGCCGCCCGTTCGGATCGCTTGATCTATAGCTCGTGCACCACGCATGTATATATATGTATGTATGTATGTGTGTCAAGATCGATCGATCCTTTGTACGCTTCCGACAACACGGTGGTACTATAGCACCGAGCTCTTAGGCCATCAGAAAATCGTTAAACCCGAATTTACTCTCATCACTTTGAATCTGTATCCCGGATGCTTCGTCCAACACTAAACCTACCGACAGTTCTTGCACACTAATATACCATATTTATATCTTTTTACATTAGAGTGCGATTTAGTACTGGTACTTTAGTTCGATACCAGCTTAAATAATAATTACAAAGACAAAATAATTTTCGTTTTCCTTTATATTTTTTATAGAAGAAGATAAAAACTTTGGTAGGTTTAGCGTTAAAACGAAACTAGACTTTGCACGGAATCGAAATGAAATGTTTAAGGTCTATCTACACTAACGTAATCGGCACGTAGGGTCCTCCGTACATCGTAGGACGTACGTTCGGCAACGTGACCAGTCCTGTAGTCTTTAGGACAGTGTATAGAGAAAAGCAAAAGGACCCTCGAAGCAAGTAGTGGACTCTAAACAGTAGGTAGTCTGCCTACCAATTCGGTATCAAACGTAGGCCCCCGAGCTCCCTGCTTTTACTCGTTTTTTCCTATACCTTGTCGTAAAGACTACAGTACTGGTTACATTGGCGAACGTACGTCCTACGACCTACGGAGACCCTACGTGCCAGTTACGTTACGTCGACGTTACGTTAGTGTAGATAGACCTTTACTTGTCTCTCACTGGGTATCAGTGGTCCAGAATGCACGTCCAAAGTGAAACGGTCTACGTTCACGTTGAGATAAAAAAGAAATGAGAATCTGTTATCTACATTTTAATCGTTTCATACAGTATTTAATATACAGGTAAAACAATGTGAAATGCAACTGAATGCGAACGGGTTTTTACGTAACAGGTAACAGATTATATTTGGCAGTATGAGTTTGGTAGTGAATGTAGTACATATAAGCGTTTCCAAACAATTATCAGAGGCGATACTCTCGCTATTAAGATTTAATTCACGAGGTGAGCAAGCATCCTAGACCCGTGTCGGTTGGTTAAGACATCCCTGATGGCGAGGGGCGACGACCACCGCGCAAACGCTATTCTTTTCAGAAAAATCGAAGAAGCTCTCAGGACGACCAGCTTCCTTTCCTTGGAGCCACAAAGACCGGAGATCAGAAACCGACCGTTCTCTTCCTCGCCATTCTCCCGCGAGTACACGCACGCCGTTAACTGGCCGCCGTTAACGAAACGGTGATAAATAATTCATACACGTACATCAGCTCGCTTATAAAATCTAAGATAGCTTCGCTAGTGCGTAGGAAGGAGGAGCTAAACGTCGCTGCTAGACCGCAGATTTTTATGCAAAACAAAACACGTCTACGCGTCGAGTCAGCTCGCGTCAAGCATCGGAACATGCATTCACTTTTGACGTTTTATTGTGTCTCTCTATGGATACATAAAATCCGCAGCCTCGTCGTTACAGAAACAATCGTGACGTGAAGATGAGTCCGTTCGAAATGCAAAGAGTTACAAATTGCAAATGAGTTATTAAGTACTACGAAATGAAACAAGATTTATTCTGATCTCCAGACTGTATGATACAACCTATCGACTATACGATTGCGTGGACTAGCTCTAGATATCATTATGCGGTACAATATAATCATAAATACGTATTCCATACGGTGTCGTACGGTTATCACTAGGCTGATTAAACTGATTCGCAGCGCAGACCGCTCGCTGTCTGTTGACAAATCGAAATCCAACGAAATTTTATTATCGCCTGGCCTCATCTGCTGTGTGGTTTCTCTTTTTTTTATCATCGATTTTTAATTATATACATATATCAATGTCGTTTTAATGGCGGTAACAACAAAATTTAGATCCGATATAGAACATCTCTCGAGGAACGAGGAACACGGCTAGTAAAACTCGTCTCCCGACGATGCAACACGACGATTATTTTAATTTACCTCTATGTTAGTTCATATTTTATATTCGATTACCACCATTAATTACATCCACGGTGAACGACACAGAGCGTGTGTCTCGCTCCGTACAGGCGGAACTTCGAATTCGAATCCAGCGATGCCTGCTCGTTTCGTTGATCGAATTTCATTGATCGATACCGCGCGATGGAAAGACGAAGGACACTGCGGGATTTTCAATCGAAAGTTCCACCGCACGATCCTCGCAGGTAAACGTCCGCAGCTGTTTCGAGGACCCGGTCCCGACTTCAACGGAGTTTCATTCCTTGAATCCATACTGCCTGGCCTGCGTGTGCATCCGTGCACGTGCCTGCGTGTACTTGTGTGCACGCGTGTGTACGAATCGACGTCCGAGACGAGGAAACTTTCGATCGGAGCAGCCCGAGAGCTTCTCTGCGTGAGAATCCGAGATCGAAAGTTCCACCGTGCCGGGTGCACCGACGACGGGCGCGAAGACTCTAACGCTCTCTTTTTTTCTCGGTTCTCATTTTCATCGACTGCCTCGCTTAATTCTACGTGGCACGACACTAAGGGCATCGATTTATCGGTGTACCCTACACGTTAGCAGTCTCGTTCAGGCGGACACCGACGACGGCGCGGTGAAACGAAAATGAAACAACGTGAACTGCGATCGCGCGTTCGTAGCCCTCAACGAGACCGAGACAAATCAGCGAATGATAAAAAGCGAAAAACGGGGGTGTGTGTGTATGTGTCTCTCTCTGTTTGTGTGTCTGTGTGGGAAATAAGTAAGGGAAACTTCTTACGCGTTGTTGATACCCCCGCGATGTTATGACCACTCCCCTTCGCCCCCGGGTAGAGAACGAGTGATACCGCCGCTATACTTTTGTGCAGAATTTTATCCGCTAATTTCTCGTTTTGTGCATCCTGAATGCATACGTACGCGCGTATGCATCGCGTTATAAATACAGTAGATATACAGAGCTTGATAGCCAATTTTCCCTGGTCCGTTTCGTCGGTCTATATGATTGAATGCGTGAACTTACCTCTTGCCGTTCGCGTGCGACAGCCGTGTTTTCGCTCGTGTGCACGCCGCGGTGAAACGAGATCTGGTATCGAACAAACGTGGCTTCGATGACAGTGAGAAGAAGCGTGACAGTGAAAAAACGTAATGGACGAGAGATGAACGACGGTGAATGCGATTGAGTACGTTCGCGTTCCTCCCAACGAATCTCTAAGTTAAGACGACGCGGTGAGACGGTACGCGGCCGGGGCGGTATCGTAGGTAGAGGAAACCGGAGGAAAGACGAAGTGGTCACGATCCGGCAGCGAGAGTTTTAGATTGATTTAAAAAAGAAATTTCTCTTTCTTCCTATGTGTCTCTTCCCCTTGGACGCAGTTGTTCGTGGCGTGCGATAGTGACGCGCGTTTAGTCCACCATCAGCTCAAAGTGTACCGAGCCGCGCCTCTCGTATCTGTCGTGCACGATGTTATGCGCCCAAGCTTTGCACTCGATGTTGATCAGCACACCGTCTAGGAATTAATCAGGATTTTCATCAAATTCATTCTCTGGCTTAATAGCGAAATGTTAATGTCTTTAGAATTAATACATTATACATATGTGTAACTCCTTAAGGACCATAGCCATGTTTGCACAGTTTCAATTTTTAGGATTACCATACGTGTTTTCCCCGGACTTTAAATCACTCCGGGTTTACTAAATATGCAAATATGTCTGGATTTTTAGTTTCCGTACTTTTAATCAAATTATAATTTTTTTCTTTTTTTTACAAAAGAATTTATTTGGGAAATCTTTTTCCTATTAAATGCCATTTTTCTCGTTTTTGGCAAGAAGAAATATGGCAACCCTACTGTCAGTATTCTTGCTTCTCCACTTACTGAGTACATAATTCGGTCCTTAAGTAATTAAATGACTGATTTCATTTAATGATTAACGGGCGATGAGTATAGTGATGTTACTCACATTTAGGCTTCTCGAAGAAGACAGCTACGAGGGGACTGAGGTATCCAGGGGTGTTTGTGAAAGGGAAATAGTAACCCGGGAAGCCACGACGTGGAATGTATTGAATCGCGCCCATGTTTTCGACATCGGCCGGATTTTCACCGGCACACGACACCCACACAGACAAATATGTCTGGATTCTTAGTTTCCGTACTTTTAATCAAATTATTATTTTTTTCTTTTTTTTTACAAAAGAATTTATTTGGGAAATCTTTTTCCTATTAAATGCCATTTTTCTCGTTTTTGGCAAGAAGAAATATGGCAACCCTACTGTCAGTATTCTTGCTTCTCCACTTACTGAGTACATAATTCGGTCCTTAAGTAATTAAATGACTGATTTCATTTAATGATTAACGGGCGATGAGTATAGTGATGTTACTCACATTTAGGCTTCTCGAAGAAGACAGCTACGAGGGGACTGAGGTATCCAGGGGTGTTTGTGAAAGGGAAATAGTAACCCGGGAAGCCACGACGTGGAATGTATTGAATCGCGCCCATGTTTTCGACATCGGCCGGATTTTCACCGGCACACGACACCCACACAGTGTCCAATCTGTGCGCGTGCTCCTCCTGCTTGATGTGTTCTTGAAGATCCGCTGGCATGTGGGCCGGCAGGTTCTTCGTGTCGTTGTAGAACTGTGGTTTCCAACCGAAAATCTATGGCCAGCGAAAATCAAAGATTACTGTCGCGTTTCGTTTAAAAATGACGTCTGAAGACTCGATACTGGATTGACTTATTAATGATCACGGCGTAATTCTGATTCGTAAAATTCGGTCAAGCGACGCAAATGAGCTTCGGACTTTCTGAACGCGTCACGGCGGGAAGCTATACGTACCTTGTTCAGCTTCAGGAAAATGCAAGGAGCGGATTTACTGTAGCCGTATTTGTTTTCCTTCGTGCACGATCCCCACGTCGACATGTCGACGTCACAGACTTTGCCGGGAGTCGGCGGTTTCCCATAGTCACACATCATTCTCATCTGGGCGCCATTACCAACTCCGGTAGCAGGCTTTTGGTACTCTAAATGGATCAACAATAATCCGTGTAATAACGTACTTATTACATTAATTTAATACGTAATCGACAGAGGCATAAATAATTACAATTACGATTTTATTTAAGCTTGTATTCTGTGAACTTAAAATTTTAGAAAATAATTTCTTCCGCGACTTGTATAATAAAAATATTTCATGATGATGAACATAGAAGCTGATAATTTAAAGACAGCGACTTTGATCTAAAGATCGCGGTCTAACCTTGACCGGATTTAACCGGCTCCTGACGTAACCGGTCCATTAGGACAAAGACAATTTTCTCGCTTAAGAATTAATATTAGCGTTATTAACACGTTGATGCCGGCGTGTCGCATGGGTGAGTCATACTGTCTGTTTTGGGCAGTATGACCCACCGGGTCATGCTCGATTATTTTGCCTTTCAGGCGCCGCCGTATGGAAAATACCATAAAAATTTGCGCCGGCATCAACGTGTTAATACACCTATAGGAATGTCGCCTAACCATATTTCGAACCACGATGACTGACACGGCTTTGCTATCTTTAGATCCCTTGTTACACATTTATAAATACTGTTTTTCAATCTTCTATTAATAATGTTTATTAATAACAATGAATTGAAAAGAATGAATTACCTTCGAGGAACTTGTCCAGCTCCTTGGTCCAATGTAGAAAGTTTCCCTCGTCACTGGCTTTGTACCAAATCAAAGTACTCTCGACGTTGCTGGCAGGAGGCATAGGCCTGAAACCGAGTCCGGGGTTGGTGCCGATCAACGAATTGTCCAACTGCCATTTCGGTGCGTTCGGGTCTAGCGTCTGATAGAAAACGGTCAACATCGCCCCGAAGAAACCAGCCAGCACCGCGTAGAAGATAACGTAGAATAACAAGATCTTGGCTGCAGTCAATGAAACAAACAAATTAACTAATTAATTGACGATTCATCCTACGTAGAAAGTCTCTTTAATATTTTTTATACGATCGATAAATAATTAATTGTATGTATAAAATTCATAGTAAATGTAGATAATTTTTTAAATAGAAATTATTGCTGCTTGTACGATAGTTCGGAACGACTGGAGATAAGTTAAACCAGTTGAAACGGAAAAGCAATTGTTTTATATAATAGAAATGATTCCCTTGATACGAACGTATCGCATCTAACCGATGTCTGGAGCATCCAGACAATTATGATCCGAGGTCTAATTGGCCTGAATTGATATTGAGTAAGTGACGCGACTTTGCTATGAGAATCTTTTATAAACATCAATCTGTCCTCACAGAAACGGAAGCCCTCGCTATGAAATCGCTACTTATTGTTAGATGAGTACTCGTATTCGATAGGAACATCAGATTAAGTGTACATATATAATATGATTCTAAAATTGTCGCGATGGCCTTGAATATTCGTTGCATAGGTGTACCCGCGAAAGTAGTGTCTCTATTTTCGTGGTCACTGACAACTTAGCTTAAAGGGCTAAGTGTAGAACGCGGAGTGTATAACGCGCAGTTGAATCTACCTGACGTTGGCACTGCGCCAATCTTGTATAATACGAAAGTTACACATTATAAATAAATTTCGTATTATATAATGTCAAGTGTAGAATCTCACAGCTGGTTCACTGTACCGTAAAATCTAGTCGATTCATGTACGACATAAAAGATACATGTTATAAATAAATTTTCTATTATATAATGTCAAGTGTAGAATCTCACGACTGCTTCAGTGAACCGTAAAATTTGACGTCGTAAACTGTTGATAGTGGAAGAGATGAGAAATGGATTCCATCTGAGGATCGCATCTGTAAGTTTTCTACCTTGTCTTATTACGATACTGACTAACAGGCGTAGAAAATTTTTATAACACAAATACGATCCTGTCATTATATTATTTATCTCTTATAATTATATTAAACAGTTTTATAATGCCAGATGAATGACATTTGGAATGACAGATCAGGGATGTTGAGCAAAGGAATGTAAAGAGTTCAGATTTAAACAAAGTCTGCAAACGTAAAAAAATGATGTATACGGAAGTCCGCCAAAACCGGAAAGCAAGGCGTTAAATAAATAATTAAACAGTTTTATAAATATAATTGTTTTTAAATAAAAATTGTATGTTTCCTAGTTTGTCACATTGCAGTTTGCTTGTAATTAATGAGATGCGAATGGGAATAGCAAGAAGCGATTGAGAATGAATTAAGAAGAATGGTTGTTGTGAATCGATTTCGTTAAACAAAAATTGTATCTTTCATTGTCACATTGCAATTTGCTCGTATCGGAGATCCGAGTGAGAACAGTAAGAAGAGAGTGAAAAACGTTATCGTACCTGTGTCGAAATTCAAACGTAAAGGGCAACAATATCAATGACCTACTTCATGAAAGAACAGTGGTGGCTTCTAAGTTTGTGGCGCCGTCGCGTTCCGCACACGGAGTGATCGATATCTCAAAAAAACCGTGAAAATGTTACGTTACTACAGCAACGCGGCGAGTCCATGTTTCAACGAAAATATAATAAACATCAGAAAGAATGTTTAGCCACTTCTTCCGGTACACGTTGCTTAAATTTCACTCGAGCAGACTAAACAAACTATTTTTATAATCACTCATGTTATAGTAATTTCAGCATCCACGAAATTCTTTTCCATATTTCGATCAAGCTTCAAAAAGTTAATTATCAATATTTATAAAATTGCAATCGTATTCGAGAACCTATGATAATTCTAACATATCAATGTTTATTTTATCGATCTCAGAAATATTAAATTAAAATGAATATTGGTAAATATTTATGATTCATTTATTTCAAGAATAATAAAGACGACAGGACACGACATATTAAGGGATAATATAAGCTTGATTAAGGAATGGCTACACATTTTATAGCGGTTTCAGCATCCACCATATTGCTTTCATATTTTAGCTTCAAGAAGATAATTACTAACGTTTACAAAATTGGAATCATGTTCAATTTAAGAATCTACCATATCAACTTTTGTTTCATCAATCTTATTAAAATGAATACTTCTTTATTTAAAGAATAATAATGACACCAGGACACGATATATCGAAGGATAATATAAGTTTGATTAAGGAAGAATACATGTGTATTTTCTGAACTTGTTAAAACGATGAACAAACTAGCTGCATGAAATCAGAGCGAGCTATTTCTGCGGAATGGTAAGACCGTTGGGTTGTATTGATTTTGATGGAAGTCGATCAACTTCAAGAGGAGACGAGGGGGAAAAAGACGGTAAAACACAAGACAGAAAGAATGTAGCTCGCAAAAGGCGAATAAGTAAGCTGCTTTAAGTATGCTAACACAATAACCACGGGGCGAATTGCTTCGCGTTAAGCGTGAAAAAATGATGCGAATTCGTAGGTCTAAGTACAGAAAGTAGCTGAGTTCACCCGAGCTCCTCGTACAAAATTAAAATAAATGTAGGAGGAATAAAAATAGTCAATCTGACCAAATTTATTATTTAGAGAAAAAACAAAAAGAAATTAGAAGCTGATACATTAAATTGACGAATTATTATTTAATACGACTGCTTTGAAAGATCGAGTGATTTGTGCAACGATTTCCTTACAGATCGATTTCAAGCTTGATAAAACCCAGGAAATCGAAACCCCCTTCAAATAAACAAACGAAAAGAAAAATTGAGTGATTCACGATTTTACTTGTTCTTTATAATCGTTCTAAATTTAAAGATCCTAATCGATTAATAATGATAAGGATTACCATTCCGATTATAAGTGACTCAGTAAACCGACTCTTACCGGGTAAATCCTTCCGCAATTCTATTACATAACACAACAATATGGAGAATTTACTTATACACGTCACTGAGTCGCACAGAATTGCACATCAGAATGATTATCATAGTCAATATTACGATACGATTAAATATTAAGTCTGTGATGATAAGAATGAACTTCTCAATTTCTTAAACGTTTTGCGTAAATGTCAAATAATTTGAAGATTAACCGGAAACAGTGACAGAATAGAAAGTACGTTTTATTTGTGAATTGCAAGTTGCAATAAAAAATCGGGTGCGCCTTCTAAATTTAAACTCAAGGACCAGGGATACTCCTCAATTCCATTCCTTCCCTTTTATAGCCGTATCATGGACGACAAAAATAGGACAATGAGAGAGAAAATCGCGAGGGTTACCGCCCCTCTATACATTTCTTCTAAAGATCCGCCCGAGAGAAAACGCAACGCGCTTACGAATATGACGTCAGGAAATAACTCTTCTGTTATCAAAACAGGATACGTGCACTCGATAAAACTAGTATTTTCTTAAATGTACTTCTTATCAAAACCTAATTAATCTTATCATCGAAACTGAGTTACGTTCTAAAAGAAACTGAAGGTCGATTATTTATATGCATGTCTGAAAATTCACTTTCGGCCGTTCGCCATTTTCGTAATAGGCACACGTAAAATTTTACGACCTCGAATTACGGAAAAATACGTGGAGCATATCGATATAAACGTTACTGGAAATCGGTTATACCCAGTAGGGGACAGTCTTCGCTCGTTAGAACACAACGACGATCCTTAAAGGTAGATAAGTGCATTGCGTATATGGCACCATTAGGGAACTGCAGTGCGCGTGTATATCGCGATGCCCTACGTCAGGAACGATGGGGTTGCTAGTAAATGTCAGACAATCTAGTCCCGGCCTCTCTCAATACGTTCAGATTTCGACAGAATTTCCAGGGAGGAGCGGTCCATTACGCTCAATAAAAAGTATATGAATCAATCAATTACTTTCACAGTCCTCAGCGACTGGAATCTATTGTTTCCGTCGAAGGCGCGAGATTTATTAATACGCTCACGAAGGAGATTACATAATCGAATCAGTGAATCGCGCGTGAATCGATTCGGTGTCACGTCAGTCCACTACCGGGTGAATAAATCTCGTATGAACTTACCCCAACTAGAGCCTGTGCGCCCCAGGAACTGTCCAGTCTCGGAGTTCCATATAAAGACCCTGAAACCTTCCCATTTGCCCAGCTTCGGCGGTGGACTGTAATACTGCTCGACTTTCTTGCCCTCCATTCCGACGAACTAGAGATGACTCGAGGAAACGATCTCGGTTATCCGCGTGTCACCACAAACGAACAAGGAATCCTTTTGCGGGCTCGGCTGACTCCTCGGTCCTGTACGTCTTCCGGTGGAACAGTGCCGCGATCGAACAGCTCCGCGGGCGAGGACGCAAAGGAAGGAAGGGTCGATTCTAGCCCTCGTCTGGAGCCGCTGTTCTCGGGCGCTCTCGTCCGGCCAAGGGATGAATATTGAGCGATCGAACACCCAGGCTGGCCGGAGCTTTTCAGGCCGTCTCCCTCTCCTCCTCGTTCCCACTCCCTCCACCGTTATTTTTCTCTGTTCCTCCAGTGGCCGCTCGCCCCCACTGTTGCGGAATCCGCTACCCTTTCGCCACCGCGTCGCGGCGGAATCGCGCAGCCGCCGCGACGCCGCCGTACCAACGCGCACTCCCTAGCCCTCTCCGGCCAGGTGCCACTGCCAGCGTAGACCGCTCCGTTTCATCCTTTTCGCTCCGATCCGTGTTTTTATCCCCCTCGTCTGCTCTCGTTACTCGATTCGATCGACCCCGCCTCTCTCCTTCTCTCTCTTCCCTGAACAATACTTCCGACGACGAAGCTCACCCTTCGGCGACGGTTACAGAGAAGAATTTCCTCTGAATCTACCTACTTACCTTGGTCAAATCCCTTCGGAATGTCGACACAAAATTTGTCTCCGGACGTATCTTCTACAAACGTAAAGACGAGTGTTGTTTTTTCTCAAAATTGTATATGAATTTATGCCGGAGATCACCGAATAGACGTATCCTCGCATTACTGCCAGGTTTTAAAATAAAATCAATGATTATTGGATAATTTTAAAGACTTTCCGACTCACCCTGTATCTGGTAGAAGGAAACGGCAAAGGACAGCAGAGATAGTAAAAGAAGTAACTCCGCGTGTGATCATTGTGAAATCCCGCGAGAGACGTTAAACATTTGGACTCATCAGCTTCCTAAAGATTCATTATAGCCCAATTGTCACTGCGTTAACTTTTGATACTCGCTTCAAAAGCTATAATTTTTTACCCAACGTAGTTGGAATCCGTGGACAGTTCCGAGTTAAGTAGATCCAGACGTAGTTGGTCAGTCGTCAAAGTTATACACAGAACTCCGAGTCCGTTTCACGTTTGGTCAATCAGGTTCCAGGTTTAAAATACATTTATAAACAAATCGAATATGTCGAGAATTCGATGACATTATCAAAAGTGCAATCTTGCAATATCTAAATAATAAAACTTTGTGTCTGTCTGACATGTATTATTTTTAATGTTTCATTTTGCATAAGAATTCACAGTCTAACGATTAGTAACTAAAAAGGGGGATGAAGTTAACATGTACAACATTATACATTGTAATTTTCATTATGCAATTACAATTATATTAAGACGTAGTTTAGAGAAATATTGAGCTCGTTGAAAATGTCTTTGAAAACAGCCAGCTTCCAGATGTAATGATACTCCAGTCTCTTGGTTTCTGTATCGTTCCATTTCTTACTGCAATCCAAAATCCATCTAATAAGGTTCGGAGCTCGCTACGAATATGTACATTTGAAGCTATCAGTTAAATTGGCAATACTTATACTACTCCAATTGCAGTATAAGTTTATGATTAATAAATATGTATATGTCTTTGTAAAAACGTCTGTTGCCTTCGCAATTGAACCGAAACCAAACTCACGTTTTACATGATGCAACACGGAATCGTATATGTATACCACATCCGTGTAGATATTGATAAGCCTTAACACAGATAATACTTATGATGTACTGTCGCAGCGATTACTAATTCATTAAAAATAATATAGTTATAAAAGTAAGTAATTGAAATGAATTAATATGATTAAATAATAATTTGTTTTACGAAACCATAATGCGGTATCTGTGTCGCTCACTTTACCATACATGCACGATTACATAACGAAAGTCCTGTGGATCGATTACACCCAAGGTGTCCACATACGAAATTCTTAATAAACTCAATTGTGCATATGATTAAACGAATATTATGATGGCAATTAACATTTTCATATGATTGAATTATTTTATGTCATTATATACGACGGTTAGTTAAATCGATGGAAGATTTAGAAAATAGTTTGCAGTGCGCTCAAGGTTTTTATTCAATAGTCGATGATTACTATACGGAACATTTTATTAGTTCACTTTTAACCACATCGAAAAATACATTCAACTTATTTTATTTACCTGAATTTATCTGTATTACAAATTATTATAATCTTTGTTTACAGCACACAATATATATATATTTGTATGTATATATATATATAATTATCGTTATACGTTATCCGTCAGGCGTATTGCATACCGGACCTGTTTCATTAAATTCCTCAGAAAATTTTTAATTCATTTACAATTGAATTCCATTTTACACGGAATCACATCTCGTCAAGTTTTATATAAGTCTCGAGAAATATATCGTACGTATATAAAAAAATTAACATTTATCTTGTACGATTTATTCCAACGCCTCGTTTAAATTAATAATCTCGTAGCGTAAAACGAAATCGGGAATTTAAACTATATCCACTTTGTACAAACAAATTAAGCCGTTCACCTGTGGCCAAATGATCTATCCTTTTTTGGGACGTGCCCCGAAAAGTATGCCTCGACCGACCCAACTCGACGTATTTATACAAACGACGTATTCTAATCTCATCGTCGATTAAAAATGAATTATGCGTGTGTCAGACAGTGTCGCTATTTAAATAATTACAAATGTAGTTAATGATAATATCGATAAGATCGCAAGGTAATCGTAATTACTCTAAGGAAGCGTGTCTCATCTATACTCTATACAATCGTCATTTCCTTTTGTACTATCGCACACGAAGAAAGTAATTTTTAATGTAAGACGCGCGCGCGCGCGTGCCCTAAACGCACTGGCTAAAAGTGTAGACGGATTGGTTGGTAACGTTTTTTATTAAATATTTCATTACAGGAGGTTAAAATATTTATAATGCATTTCAAATAACAGACTTTACAAATATATCTCAATATTTCCATATATGTGCATATACATACATATATTCCTATATATATATTACGTATCGTATATTCGTAAATGATATATACATATATATATATGGAATATATAGCGTGTATATACACATCACATATCTCTATATGTGTAATGTAAACCTTTCTTTCTTTTCAAAAAAATTAACATTTATCTTGTACGATTTATTCCAACGCCTCGTTTAAATTAATAATCTCGTAGCGTAAAACGAAATCGGGAATTTAAACTATATCCACTTTGTACAAACAAATTAAGCCGTTCACCTGTGGCCAAATGATCTATCCTTTTTTGGGACGTGCCCCGAAAAGTATGCCTCGACCGACCCAACTCGACGTATTTATACAAACGACGTATTCTAATCTCATCGTCGATTAAAAATGAATTATGCGTGTGTCAGACAGTGTCGCTATTTAAATAATTACAAATGTAGTTAATGATAATATCGATAAGATCGCAAGGTAATCGTAATTACTCTAAGGAAGCGTGTCTCATCTATACTCTATACAATCGTCATTTCCTTTTGTACTATCGCACACGAAGAAAGTAATTTTTAATGTAAGACGCGCGCGCGCGCGTGCCCTAAACGCACTGGCTAAAAGTGTAGACGGATTGGTTGGTAACGTTTTTTATTAAATATTTCATTACAGGAGGTTAAAATATTTATAATGCATTTCAAATAACAGACTTTACAAATATATCTCAATATTTCCATATATGTGCATATACATACATATATTCCTATATATATATTACGTATCGTATATTCGTAAATGATATATACATATATATATATGGAATATATAGCGTGTATATACACATCACATATCTCTATATGTGTAATGTAAACCTTTCTTTCTTTTCATTGTTTTCTTCTTTTTTTTTTTTTTTCATTTTTACCACACTATATCTCACGCACATACATTGCATATCATACATCCGTCCTCTTTCGCACCGCAAATTCTTATGTACATGACGTAGAGTGGCACAAACTCTCGTATAGATTTTTTTTATTTTCAAATTTCCTTTTTTTATTTTTTTTTTGTTTGCTTAATGCGTTTTATCCCCTTACACTGTACCACGATGACACACCGTTCCCCGCTGCTGCAGCAAAGGATCTGACCCATCCCGTACTACCGACCGTCCGCAAAGGCCGAGCGACTTCGCCTCTGCGTGGAACATTTTATGATCCTCATACCTCACGTCGATTAATCGCATTCGTAAACCGTTTACGAAGCACGTCTCCCCCGCTTGATTCATTTTAAAAAATGATATAATCCTCTCTCTTCGTTTCAATAGCGACTCGCCGCACCTAGTGTAACAGGCATTTCATACTATATTTATTTTTTTTTTTTTTCATTTTTTTGTCTTTTTCTTTTTAATTTTCATTCTCGTCCAAAGCACGTATTGTCTTCGTGAGTCTCGGTTGTCTCGGGCAAACGTTGCGAGCCGACGGTCGCCTCATGCACAGACGTTACTTTTATTGTTATAGCGAATGTACACGATAATTGTAAGCGCTTTTTAAGTCACTATGCCGACGGTATCTTGACGTAAACGCATGCCTGTTTATGCACGCGTCGGATGTTCCTGTATATGTAATGTGTCTCATTAGGACTTCTCTTTCTTTTCTGTTAGATCTCTGCACCATCTCGATCGCTGCCCAATTACACCCCTGTATGTCCAAAAATATTTGGAAAGACAGATACACGTAGCTCTAGTCCCCTTTAACACACTCTCCTCTCACACGTTTTATAATTTTTAGACAGAATCGATCTTATTTGCTTACGATATTAGAGATGTAAAATTTCATTTCGGACATTGGGCATGAAATACACGTGACTTTACTCGAGGAGGAATGAGAGCTCTTGGACGACCGATACAAATTTCAGTTTAACTACTGTCGACGATACCATTGCTGGTTCAACTACACGTTGTTCTTTGTACTGATTTTTATCGATACACTCGCGTTTAAGTAAAAGGAGCAACCATCAATTTTGTTCGGGAACGAAACACGCTTTAGGAACGATAACACAGTAACAGCTAAAGGTACTAATGTACGGATTAGTAACGCAAAACAGTTAAGTAAAATTAATAGGTAGTGAAGATGGAGAAACAATCTAAATTATATAGTGTACGTCTAAGACAATGTTTCTTCCTTTTTCTATTTATCTATCCATTTAAGTAATCGACGTCGTTGAAAAACGAAAAATTGTTGCATTAAAATTGTTTCGATCTCCCCAGAAAGTTTACATCTCTATTTTGTTACACAGATGTACATATATATATATATGTATGTATGTATACATATATGCATGTACATATGTTATATATATGTATACATATGTTATACATATACATATAGATATATTATATAAAATTTATTATTACTATAATTCTTATAATAATTATTATTATGTAATTGTAATTACTACTACTAATCTCTCACGCTCCTGCTCTACGGCTTCTGCTCAAGTGATATGGTTCTTTGACTTTTTGATTCGTTAGGTATAATACTGATTTGATCAAGAGCATTTGAACTTTCCTTCGTACTTGAACGATACGCTGAGAAATCGATTACATCGAGCGCAGCTGTCCTACCCCGCATTCTCCCGTCTATTAAAATTCAATAGATTAAATGCGTACCCAGTGGTAGTTACTAAACAAAGGAGTCTTCATCCGAGACGGTTGCTTAAATTACAACTAATTCAACAATTATTTTCCCGATAATAATCAAAGCAGACTCAATGTAACGTTTACGATAGAATTTCATTAAGAATTTGATGATTAAGTAAAATCTGGGAAGTTCAGAAGAAACCTTCTTCGAGAGTCAAAAGTTTCAAGTCGAGCGAACATGAATAAGGGACAGTTTTTAGAGAAGGGGAAAGAATCCCTGAGGGTAGGAAACAAACAATTGCCTGACTCATCGTGTGATTCCCTTTGATTGAGTTAAAAAGTTTTTCTGAAAGATTCAACAAATTTTTAATAACAAGCTGATAAAACGTAATAAAACGATCTCCGTCCGCGTATAATGAAACCAATACCTCCATCAAGCTTCCTCCGATAAATTCATTCTAATAGAATTTTCCTCGTCAAGTAACAACCGTACAACGCGCATCGTTAAACGCAGCATTATTGCTAAAGCGGTATTTCACAATCATCTTTTCTTTACATATGTATATAATAACTGTAGATCAGCAACAAAAATAATGAACTTCGTTATTGCTGCTTACAACATTAATACTATATCAGTACACAACATTCATCTGTAAAAACATGTATTGGTGTTACGCTAGGAAATATTGCTTAACAGTTAGAATAAGAGAAGGAATCTTAGGGTCTTATTGCCAATGATATCTGAGATACACGAGCGTCAACAGTTAGTAAACAGCAATAAAGTGTCTGCTTTAATAATTACTATTGCTTCTAATAACACGACTAATCGCGGCTATAATATCACCTGGTCAACAATGCTCTTTTACTAATTAGGAGAACGGAGTATTTTACCAGTTGCAAATTCTCTCGCTTAAAATATCTTAATAACGTTTTTAATCTATTAAACCAGGTTCCTCCGTAGAAAAATGAAAGTTGTTGAATTTCGACATAGAAAATTGTTATCAGACTCCTTTGTTCGACTCACAAAACTAACGCCACTTCCTTCGTGCTCTTGTCAAGCATTTTCCGATAACACAAATAGAAAGAACGTTCGTCTGATAAACTGAACTTAAATAGTATCTACTTTTAAGTTGTCAACGACGAAAAGTAATCGCGAGTACCAATAAATTGAAAGAAACGTTCACGTTTCGAATTTTAATACGAATTTCACGTACTTCTTATTGGTCACAGCCACTTTGAAAATTTTTCTCAGGTAATTTCCGAAGATGAACATTGACTAATGGTAACGGCAAGATGTATCAAGTTTTCCGTAGAAGACCGGTACGAGAACACTGGGTAGTTTTTAAACGAAAAATGGCACTTTAACTAAACGTTACCCGGACACCAAGTCACATTCTATTAATTAGGACGTAGTCGAATTTCTCCTAAGAAACTGACAAAAGTTTGACTAACGTACACGTGAAGTAAGAATCCCCAAACTTTTAACAATTAATTTTTGGCTTTCTTTGGAGTTTGAATGATCGAGTATCGCGTTCAGGGAAAATTATCTTCCACGTTGTACGTGATGATGGGTGAAAATTATTATCGTTACTGTTAGAAGAAAATTAGTAATGACAGACTCGAAATGTAACATCACATTCGAACTTTCAGTCAAACTTTCATCCTTGGCGAAAAGATACCTAATTCTAAACCGTAGGTCCCAAAAGATTTTTGTGGCCACTGACTAGCTACCGAAAATTCGAACAAAAAGTAAAAAGGAAGAAAGAAGACGACACCTGAGAAAGTTCGCTGAAGCTGTCGAAAGTAAATTTTTAAATGCAAGTGTATTCAAAGTCAGACATATCCAGTTCCATCCTCTTTCACAGTCCTTACTATTTTTATTCAAGACCTATTCGACATGGATCCGAGGCAATGTACGAGAGCCTCGCGATTTCAAACTGTGGATCATCGTAAGTGTGGGATCTAGACAAAGATTTGCCGAATGATGTGCTCTAATAGAATCAGATCGACACCCACTAACGGTGTCCCTTTCCATTTTTAACGTCAAGTCGGTTTAAATGCAGCAGCAACCTGCTGACAAGGCAGATACGACGCAGATTGCCACTCCACTCACACCTAATACTAATATTATATTCAAGTTATTATTCTTTCCGTTTTCTTTTTTTTTTAACATTACCGACTAACAAGATTCTAAACGCATTTAACGCATTGCTTACACATAAAAAAGACAGGTGATCAATAAAAGTCGTATAAAATTGCTTAAGTTGCACATGATCGCATGACTATTTGTATAAATAGGATGAGAATTATTGTTATCTAACTATTCATAAGTTAATGAATGAATGAATGAATGAATGAGCGGCATATATTTATAGTTTTATACACACAGGAGCGCAAAGGCAGCTAGACAATCGAACACTTATGGTTTGTTGTTCTCTCGTTATCCCATCTTTTCTATCTCACCCTTCCACTCTCGCTCGATCTCTTCCCCACAGAACCCTATCCTCGCCATATATTTGTTGCACTCGTTTAAACATTGCGCACGTAAGGATTGAGAAAATATGTATACATAAAAACGTTGTGGCTCAATAGCGATAATAGAAGTAATAGTAATAGTTTAATAGTAATAGTAGTAATAGTGGTAATAGACGTATTAGTAGAAGTAAAAGTATCAATGATGAATATATTCAAACGTGATAGTTTCACCTAATTAGAGCACAATGCATTTTTCTCATTTTCTCTGCATCTGTTTTTCGTTTTTTTTATGGCTAGTTTTACTAGAGACAGGGAAACGTTGGAAAAGGTGGAGGAGGGATGTGATGCGTGTGTATATATGCGTGTCCGTGAACGTGTACGTAGCCCATCGATACAATGGAAATACGCGAATGAATACCTAACACAAATCTTTCAAAATATATTCTAAAAACTTAGATAAGAACATTTCGCGTTTTTACGCCTGCCCCCGTTATTTTTCATTTCTCCTCTGTACACGACGCCACTCCTTTTTTACAATCATGGTCAAGGATCACTATCATAAATAAGAGGTTGTAAAAAGTATACCTGGTACCATGCATCGCGAGACACCCGTTGTTAAAAAATTGTCGTCCCGAGTGCAAGGGATGTCCAGAAAAATCACCGATAACATGCACGAGGAGCGATAGCGGTCGTCTTTCGAGCAGCCTTTAGGTTGTATTGCTGTGACGGGGTCGTAGTGACAGTGCTGCTGGTGACAGTGGTGACGGTGATCATGATAACGATGATAATGATACGTTTTTGGATGGTCCGCGGCAGGGGATCACTTGTCAGAACTTGGGCACTCTCCAGGTTGCTTCATTATACTGTAGTCTAGGCGGTATTGAGCTGAAAAAGACACACGCAAATTCAAGTACAATCTATTCGTAACATACGTAAGATCATTTTCCATGTAGAAAATAGAAATGAAAAAATCTACATACCTTTTTTGGTAAGATCCTCCATAGTTTGATCTTTACAATCAATTGCGAGATGACTACTGCTGCCGCAATTGTAACACGAGATCTTCGCTGGGGGGACGGCAGCTGGAGCGTACGTGACAACCGGAGTAGGCGGCATGTACGGCGGTTGCACAGGCGTCCCGGCCGCATTTTGCGGCGGAGGCGGCGGAGTCCCACCCGAAGGCGGGTGTCCAGGATATTGGTACATCATTTCGCCGTTCGGCTGGTACGTAGTCGGATAAGCCGGCCTTCCATACGGCCCATGAGAGAAGTTAGAATAAATACCACTGCTCGGTCTCAACGCCGAGAAATGATGCGGCAGATACGTGACCTGCGACTGCGTCGGCGGAGCGGGGAACGAGACGCATTGCGAAAGGTTCGGCGGACCGCCGCCGTTCACCATTTGATTTTTATGACGCATCACATGCGTCTGATTCCTTCTGGTGCGCTGCCTCTCCGGGCCCGACTGTACAGGTTGTTGAGGCGCCGGATGCGAGACCGCACTCGTAGAATGCACCGGCGCGGGGCTGAGGTGGTCGCTAACTGGAGGCCCGTTACTCTCGCTTCCGCTGACCCACGGCGCGGCCGGAGGAGTCTCCGGCGGGGACCTGCTACCGGTACTATCGGAACTGCTGCTTTGGGAACAGTGCCTACTGCTCTCGGGATCTAACCTCAGAGCTTGTAATTGCGTCAAACAGTACACGTGCTGGGCATTGCACCTAAAGGATTCAAATATATTGTCGAGTAATTGTTAAATTAATTTTATACGTCAAGCATTATTTTTCTTACCTTGAATATCGGTTTTGTACACCTGGGACAGGCAACGTGAGGCAGGCATAGCACGGCGCGTTCGGTGCAGCGTACATCGGCGGCGGCGCAGGGTACATTTGTATTTGACCAGGATCTAGTGGTCGCATAGTAGGATATCGCCGTAAATTAGGAGTAGCTGCGTGATTATGATGGTGATGCATCGCTGGATGCGGTTCCTGTAATGGCATTGACTTACTGCTTTGATTTCCATTATCATTTAACATCTCCATTCCAAGCATGGCCTAGGTAAGAGTTTTTTATTTATATACACATTTTCGCTATAATACTTGAAGTACACCGTGAACGGATATGATAATTACCTCGTTCTCGACCGAATCTACAACGTTGTGTGCCGTGCCCGTGGTACCGTCTAGTTTCTTCTCGGTAGAAATTTGATTTAACCCATTAGTAGTTTGACTTTTAACTATACTCCGTAGCTGTCCCACAGCGTTCGGCGTCAATCCTATATCCCTTAGGTCTTCGTCGCTCATTCTCCGTATCTATATTCATCGATGAACGATAAAAATAATGTTTTCGTAACAGGACTTACTGAAATTACAATGCTGCGCTGTCTCACCTCGTCGAGCGAGAAATTCTGCAAGTTGCCTTTGAAATTTGGCATTTCCTTCCCGAGCGTTTCTCGTAACGAGTCGCCGGAAGTGGAGGATCGCAGTCGCGGCGGCGGCGGCGGCTGTTTCGACTGAGGTGCTGCCGGAATTAAGGTAGAAGGGGTATTCTCGACGCTATTATGCCGGGAAAAAGTAGTAGAACTGCTGATAGACAAGGGAACAGAGCGTGATGGAAGCAATGGAGGCTGACTAGGGTGACTTCTGTTCGTACTCAACGCGGGCAGCGGGGGTAGGGAATTGGTGTTCGAGCTGCATATGCTTGTCTGACTGTTAGAGGCACTCGTCGACGTTGTCATGGTGTTCGAAGTTGACTGGGTCACCTGCGAGGAGGTGCGCGGCATCGCATTGTTTCTGCGACCCATCGGGGAATTGCTGCGGCTAGGAGATCGAGACTGGGACGGTGACGATTGGCGGCTGACTAAGGGGGAAGGTGGATAAGCCAACATGTCACCAGTGTGATACATCAGTTGATTCCCCATCATGACCTGACCTGTCCACGGCGGCATATGATTCACTGATGGGAACCCGAGGTGGAGGTACTGCGTGGCACCGCCCGATCCCATCGGCATTTGTTCCGGCGTCGGCAGACACAATCCAGGCGGAGGCATGGAGAGCCCGGGAGGTACTCCGGTCACCATTGTGTTATTCCTCATTGCCATTTCTCCTGCGATCAATGAGATATACGTGTAATATAAAAGGAGCACGCGAACTTTTCAAGTAGCAGACGATAATATTTTATAAATTACCGTGATAAGTTTGCATCGGCGGAGGAGCCATCATACAATTACCCTGCATCTCTGAATCCATTAATCTTTCATTCGTATTCATACATGGCGAGCAACCCTAATGTTACATGAGATATCGTTAATGAAACAAGTAGGAAATATATATTATTAGTAGACTGCGAATTCTTATATGCTGTGCATTCAACTATGTGTATTTCTTAGACGCTCAGTTTCACTATAAACGGATAAAATCCACAGTCTATTACTATTCACATTCAAAGTATATTTTACGTACTTGATTTTGCTTGTAAGACGAATTCGACTTAGACAGATTCAAGCGAGCTTCCTCTTCCTGAAGCTTTATGAAAATATTACCGAAGACGCTCTTTTGCTCGTATGTAAATGCTGGATGATTCAGAGCCATCGTGTACAGTAAGAGCAACTCTTCGAGGGGTTGATCATCGGGTGTAAAGGTGGTCCCGTTTAATAAGTTAGAGATCTCTTGATAGTCGAAGTTAGATAGATTCTTGTACAAGATCACTGCGCACGCATAGTTGCAAGAGTGTAATAGTGCCATGTAGAGAGCGAGTTTCCTCCTCGTGCGCTTATCCGCGACACCCGAGGTCGTCAGCTCGGCGAGATCCGAAGGGCTGTTTGCATGATGCTCCGTGTCGCGGAGATCATTGTAATCCCGTTTACCAATGTCCTCTACACAAGTGCCGAGGTATCGTACTTCAAATGGCAGGCACATGTTTAATAACGTGCACATGACATCGATGCGGTTATAACTGCACAGACGGAAATACACTTGTAATTGGTAATAAACGTGCTATAAATACATTTTTCTTTGTTATTAGGAAACACGTATTCTTCAGCAAATACAACGTGCTCACGCATTGAACGCGTGTTTACACAGACATATTTCAACGAGACGTGTATGGAAACTTAATATTAATTTCTGTAATAAACTGAAAAGAAGACAATGTATGCTAATTGAAACATACGTACATTTCATTACAATTATCATGAAGCTATAGATTATTGTTTTTACATATTTTTACAATTGCAAATTGAACAGAGGAATAGTAAATAACGCATATAACGAATAGCAGACATTGCATTTAACAATTTCAGACGATTATAGAGGAAGTTCTTTAATAAATTCGTTACAATATTCGCCTGGACGTAATTATAGAAAAACAGTTGCTACCATACTTGATACTCCCTTGTAATAAACAGAAAGATCATCGATAATGAGGATAGATCAACCGCTGTCGAGTAACGCATATCGGCGGAGGTTCTTAATTATTAATGAGCTCGCGATAGTTTTTGACGTGGAGTTAAGATAAGATTGCGAAACGTTCTTTTTGGTTAGTTTGAAATTTAGTAAGAGGGATGAGGAGGTCACAGTGGAAAACGTAACAGCACGCGAGGTATACGAGAACCGAGGGGAATCCAGCGTCGGCCGATACGGGGACGCGTTATTAACCGGGTTATATACGTTGATGACGGCTTTTTTTACCTGGACAGATTCCCAAACCATGATACCACGTTCTCCTTACACACCATTGCCAGACAACATTGATACCACTTGGGCTGAAGAAAGCGCCGATGCGGACAGCTTTGGCGCCTCGCGTATTGCTATCAAGTGACAATCACCGCGGGGCCTGGCGTGCAATAACGGACCAGTTTCAAAGCGTTCACGGGCGTGAGAGACTCGTTAAAAACGGAATTCGATCAGCAGCCGTGGCGACGGGCACTTGGAACGCTCAGCGGCGGCAGCACAGCAGTTAGGCGCACACCGTCAAGTATTCACATTCGCGGCAGCAGCTCGGGAGCCAGGGGCAGAAGCAGGCGCGACCGAACGATCGGTGAAAACGGCTACAGTCGACGTCGACGTACCGGACCACCACGCGTTCATGAAAAAAAAACTACGCGCAAACAACTGCACGGTCGTCCTGATAAAAATACGATTACACCTGTGCAACTGTCTCCGTCGGCTATTATACCAATTCTCAACGAGATGTACCGAATCGAAAACTCGAGTCTCGGGATCCGTTCACATGCTCGCGTTAAAAAAGGCATCGGGCACTTGCTGTTCGGATCCACGTTAAGGCCGGGTCCTCATGTGCAGACGTTCGCCACACCATCGATCGTATTGGTTATCTTCCCTGCTCGTTAGCAATTTGCAAGAATTCAACAATTCCTTCCTTTATCTCTATGCGACACTGTATCGTGCGAAAGTAAGCGACAGAAATTTTCAATTTCTATTATATTTTCTAATCTATTATATATAACTAATTACTCCCGCAGTTCGTGAGGTAACGAAATTACACATGGGTATCCACACTTAAGCATTCGCATTGTGTGTGCGCATGTATATTCACGTGCATATTTTAATTATTTTATTTCGAATCGTCGTCAGTCTCCTAATTATACGTATGATGAATCTGTTTGTTTACGTCAATCAGGAAACTTCTTTAGGGTATAATAATTGATGATTCATTTATTCATGATTGAGATTGCTCCTTTATTTGAAAGATCTTTATTTACAATTATTCAATGATAATTTATATAATAGCTTGGCCAGAACCGAATAACAGATATATTATACATCCAAATGTGTCTACCATAGCTATAAATATAAATACAACGGGCCAGCTATGTGTTACATGTAATATATGTCCAGCAAAGTACACCCCAAGGAATCCTGAAGAATTATTATTATTAATGCTCTTTTCAGTATAACAAAATTCATAAAGACATAAGTTTACCAGGCACAGCACCGACAGTGTTCATCAGTCCGAATACACTGCCAGAATGTTTTGGTGCAAGATCCGAAGGGTTTACTGCGATCGCATTATTATGGAAACCAGATCCACCGATAATGAACGCGAGGCAAATGATCGCACTTAGAAAAGTTTTCACTTTGGCTGAAACGATCTCAATGTTCATTTTTCTATTTAATATTCTTGCCTCGTTCGGTGCATACCTAGGAATACTAAACTGATGATCTCAGTTAGGAAACATATTGTTTCGACTATTTTGCGCGTTGCCGTGACAGAGTATCCTGATTTGATTATCTTCTCCGACAGGGCTTTGCCTAAAAATGTGCAGGGTAACATGGACAACCATGGTACCATGTTCACGACCCAGCCCTGAACAGAATAAAAACGTTGTTAGTTTATATGCTATCAAGGAACGTGAAAAGTTTTGTTACCTTCACTTCAGGAAATGTGTCATGAAAATACGTTGGCATCCAAGACAGCAATACGAAAAAACAATTATTTTGGCAAGCGTGGCCTATAACGCATGACCTAAAAATAATAATAATAATTCTGTATATAACATCGTCTGTCTAAAGAGAAATTAAAGATTAATGCTTTCATAGATCTGTACACATTTTTATATATACTTTTTCTATTAAGATTTATGCGAGAGAGATATGATAAATTGACATTGAATTCCCATGCAGAATGATTACCAGAACGGAGGCTTTCCTAGGAGCTTCAACCAAGGTAAAGCGTAGTTAGTACTCGATTTAGTGGAAGGTGACTTTTCCTTAAAGTACAGAGTATGGTAACTTAATAACATGGCCCATGCCAAACTTAAACTTCCTAAAGCAACAACTTTATTAATACAAACATGTCTGATATATTGCAATTCAGATTTATTAGTCAATTACTCCAGAGTAATGAGCTTATCCCTCAATACGTGTTAACAAGTGTTCGTTTACCTAATGTTTGAAAAACCGTCACCCAGCTGTAATTTTCTAACAAATAGGAACCGACGGATCCAGTAAGCAGTGTGCCAAGAGACGAGCCTGATGTTAATAAACTAAAGAATGAAGCTCTCTCGGTTTCATGCAGTCGTTGGCTTATTAAACTGATCATGCTAGGAAAATGCATTCCTGGAATACATTGTCCTTGTAGATAAAACCGAGAACACCCTTAGACAATCGAATCAATTGGATGATGTATCGTTACCTTGGAATGCTCCATTTATCATTCTTACTATCGCCACTAATAATACCGACGTGTCATTTTTGGAAAATAGTTCTATCACTTCTGGCATAAAAAATGTCGTCATGGACCATCCAAGAGCAGAGATTAATAATACTTTCTGTCCTCCAATTTTGTCGCTAATATACCCACTGGCGACTTGCGTCAACGTGTAGCCCCAAAAGAAGCTGGACAATACTATCCCAGAATCCGACTTGGACCATTGCTTCTCCTTACTTATAATTGGCATCAATAGAGGAACACAAGTTCTTGTAGCGTATATCAGACAGGTGCCACATAACAGCGATAAGAACCATTTTCTCCTCTCCTTCCTGAAACGCACAATTTACAATTTCAGCGAATCTCGATTTAAAAAAGACCGTTCGTTTCTTAATGCACAATGATTAAACCTTGTCCAAGATGAATTCGCTTTTTCATCTTGGCATAATACTAGTGGTATCTGCATTTGCATTTCTGTACGAGGTACCGCGAATAACTAAGCATCTAACTTTCTCGCCGTATGCCCGAAACACGTATCTAAGTTACACGCATGCATATCGTTAAAAATGCTGTATTTGTAAATGATCATTCTCGTTAAACGTCAGCGATTGCGATACGCGATGTTGTCTGTCAGTGCCTTTCAAAAATTCGGTAAAACGCAGAAAATCGTCTTAGCATTTCTTATCAGTAATTTGCGAATAAACATTGAATTAAAAGTGTGAGCGCTAAGACGATTTCAATTTGCTGTTTCAATATTGCTGTGAGATGACGCGGAACTCTCGGTTCGATCGGCGAAGAGAGATGAGAGGCGACACGAATGCGCGCGCGTACGATGGGAGAAGTAAAAAACGAGAGGGAAGGAGAGGGAGCGAGCAGGTTGGTTCGGTTCGAGCGGGCAGAGAGTGGACGAGCAAGAGGACGTAGAGGGGCGCCGAATCCAAACCCGATAACGAACCAGCTGTGGCAGTGCCGTCGTACGACGTTTACGTGGAAGCACGGTCCTCGCGAAAATCTATTTCCCGCTACGTTGCTTTCGTCGTCAATGATTTAAATTAACGAGCCTCGAAAAACGACGATCGTCGTGTCAGAAAATCGTTCGAACGGTACACGGCGCGATTCTCGCGTTCCGTCTTATCGACTTTAAGTGTTTACCACACGGGACCACGGAACAGGTTGAATAAGGGTGAAGGATTTAAAAAGAAAAAAATGAAAACAAAACATAGGAATAGGAACGTGCCGTGACCAAGTCTCGAAGTGATCGTCAATATGTATTGTACAGTCGAAAGGAAATAACAGTGATCGCACGAGTTTTGATCAGTCGGAGAAGTATCGTTGATTTTCTTATCTGCAATCAGGTGCGTGAGCGTGTGTGTGTGTGAAAATCGCGTGTGCCTGTGGGTGCTGGATCGCCTCGCTTGTACCTGACCTGACCTAAGCGAGCAGCTGGACCAACGATGACTACCAAGGAGTTGTACGTTAAGGTACTGAAACGCTTCGAATTTTCGCCTCACCCTAGGTAGATCGGGGATCCAGTTCCGTAACTGGTTTAACAGCTTCGCGACCAGAGCTTGCCTGTTGACATTTCCAATTGACATTTCGCGAAAACCGAACGATTTTTCAATTGTCAACCTGCTCATGGGACGAACAGTTCCCATCACCGGAATTTTAACGACGATTGACGAGCGTCTAACGTCGTGATGAATTGTCTGTTTGAAAACGACGTTTCCATTTTTTATCGTCGCCCCTCAGCTAATTTATCGGTGCTCGTATTCTCTTTGAAATTCGAAGCGAGAAAGTTTGCCCTGTCGTTGAAGCACGGTGATGAAGCGGAAAAGGTCCTCGAGTAAATATGTTGAAAGAGCGCAGAAGTTATTGTGCAAACCTTCTGACAAGAACGACGGTTCTTAAAGAGGAGAATGTTTCTTATCTTTCTAATTGAAATTACACAATCTTTTCAATGTTAGCGCGAACATTTGCTGTCTGCGAACTCATTCAGATTCTATCGATTTTCAATTTGCTCACGATATTATGTACTTAGTCACTTATTTTGATTTGTACGAGGTTGTGCGCGTGGAAACGTGATATCGATTACGTTTTTAAGGCTGAAAAGCTCGTTGTTAAAATCTCGAGAGCCGACGAGACGTTATTTCATATAAAATTGAATGTCATACTTTCTTCTTTCCTGCATGCCGTTCATGCATAACGTAGAAGATTAATTGTTTGAGAAAATATATCGCTCCAGTTGATCCTGAAATATACATCGAGTGATAAAAAAATCTTCCCTAAAAAATGAACGATTCCAATATGAAAATTATTCATTTGATTATAGCAATTGATTCGAATGTGAGAAAGCGAAGATCAATAATTACTGTCAAATGCTCTGAAGTTTCGAAACCTACATTTCCCTTTAAAACCCACTACATCAGTGGCAAAAGCGATAACACTTGTATACAAACGATCTACCAGGAATTATCATTTTAAAACGTTTGCTGGTCGTCCCTGAATATGAAACATTTACTGATTACAGTGCTTGGCACCTGTCCATATCTAGCAATAATTTTTCAAACGACTGATACGAGCTAAGGTAACTGATGTACCAAGAAGAACACATATGGTTTCCCAAAATCTATGGTGTTACGTTGTTTTTGTAATTCCTTTCACTTTTTCATGTACATAACTAATATCATGAGATTCTTATTATAATTATTGGGTTGACAAATAAATAATTGCGGAGTTTATCTTAGACTTCTTATTTAAAATGCGCAATCACTTAGTTACCAACCCAATAATTTGATAAACGTACTTCACTTTTGCGAAGTGTTTATATGCTCGTTCTTGATTTTCACCGTGCACATTACGCAACACTGGGTCATAAACGTTTTGTCGAACCGGTTCGAAGACATCAGTGCGCGAACCGAGGCAGTCATAATAAACTAGAATATCGTCTAAGATAGACACATAGGTAACCACGTTGCTAACCGGTACTCGGCATAAGGAAATAATGAAATTAAATATATTATGCAAGAAACTGAAACACGAACCGGAGAGCCCCGATCGCACCTTTACATTTAAAGGTAAGCCAACCCTGTTCGAAACTGTTGCTCGCACGATCGGTTCGAGGAACGTGATCTACTATAGAAACCTCGCTAGCCAGTTCCTTTTCCCTCGCGATAGAAAAGCAAAACGTACAGCAGAATAGATTGTCCTCCTTGCTCTTTCGTTCGCGTACGAACGCACCACGACTTTCTCTCTCAGATTTTATCTCAAAGGTCAAGGAGATTTACAAATTCGTCACCCGATGACTATCTTAATTAACCGTAAGAATTTCTCTCCGCTTGAATCGAGTCGCAACGGGCCTCTTTAATCCTGAGGACAATACGTCAATCTAGTATGTAACAATCAAAATATTATCTGAATAAATGAGAAAAGATCATCCTCCTGCGCAGCCTCCGTGAAAAGAGAGGATTCCTCGCAACAATCTCCCACGAAGACATCCCGTTTCACGATCTTACTCAACAGAGACACCGTTCAGAGTTCACCGAGCTCGCGTTCTCACGGCTGCGAGCATTGCTTGAAAAAGGATCGGAATTTACATGTACAATTAGCCTGCGTTTTATGCATTCATAAGACTTACGTATAATAGTAGTTCAGTATGTAATAAAATTAAAAGTAGTAAAACGTGTGTACACATTTTTTGCACAAAAACCCGCAGTCCGTGAGTCTGTGAGTGATACGTTATCACCGCATATGAGCTGCTCTGTATTCTGATTAAACTTGATAGTTTCCGACAGAGAACAGACTCCAATCCTCATTTACTTTATTCGCTCTGTTTAAATTAAGTTTTTAATTCTGAGTTCAGAATATCAAAAGCTGAATGCATATTTTAATAATAAAAGGAACGTTTATCTAAAACACATTTCATATTTAATTATACATAAATATCCCCAATCTGCTTATATTGAATCTTTGAGGTACGCGTAAAAACTGGAATTAGTAGCGTGCGTGAAAGTGCGTTTGGTAACTGGCGGAGTGAACGCTGCCAATTTGAACGCACGTGGTAAAAAAGCGTAGGTTGGAAACTTGACCCGGTTATTCCCAATAACATAGAGAGAACCCGGGACCTTTCTCAAGAGCAACGCCGGGCTATTGCGATCGATCTTGCGGCGACAAATACGATGTCAAGCGGTTTCCAAGTACAGCATGGTGCTTCGATATAGTATTATATTATCATACACTTTGTACTCCCCGTTCCATGCACATTGCTATTTATTACTCGCAAAACGTTCTCGACCAGTGCAGTAATTTCATATCGAATAAAAAGCTTAAAGGATGGAGAGCAATAATTCTTTTACACGTGCAATCGTTTAGAAGTTTTCTGTTATTTCATTAGAGGTAATTGAAAACTTTTTGCAAGTCTTCCTTATAAGCTCATAGATAAGTGGTATTACTATCTGTGTATTTTTACATTAAATGAGTGCAATTAAGAATCACATTCACAAATATCATAATTTATGTGGAACGGAGCTTTGCATATCTTCACTTACTTTTTACTAATTTTCTTTGGGATAATTTGTAGTAATACAATCATAAACGTTGAAATGTGGATGTTAAAATTCATTGTTTGAGGCAGTTGAAACAGTTAAAAATGATCACAAGGGCAGTCGTTCGATCATGCTCGTGGTCGTCAAACATGAAGAAACACGATTGGGACTTCATGCACATTTACTTTACGACCGTCGAACAATTGTGTACTTAATTGATGCATGTGAAATATCGCGTTTTCACAACGTGCCGATATTTGCATTCTACTTCCTACTATCGTATAATTCTGTAGACCATCGAGTACGTACTTGAAAACTGTTAAAATTATATAGCTTAATTATTCCTACTTTCTTATCAATAGGAATTCTCAAATTATATTTAATTACAGTTGGCAATGATCGTGTGAAGTTAATTTTGTTCAGTTGAAACGCGCAAAGTTAAATGCTTTGAAATAGTGTCAGTATAAGAAAACGTGCGTGCCATGAATGCTTCCGCATTTGAAATTACACGATCGGTTATCACGAACAGTTATGTACTTGTAGTATGTACACACTCTGTGGGAGGAATCGTTAGCAGAATGATTCATCATCCGGAATGACTGCAGATAAAACGCGAGATATAAGCAACCGATCATCCGCTTTTTACTTTTGCTCGAATGTCGTGAATGAATGTTTGAGAGGCTCGCTTCAGCACTTTGCGGTGGTGATTCGCGATCGCATTTAATTTATTGCAAACATAGTCGACAATGTTCGTCGCTGTTAATACTTATGCTTCAGTACACTAACTGAACGCCTGAAAGACTCGCTTTGGCACTTCTCAAGGGTGATTCGCGATCTCATTTAATTTATTACGGATATAATCGATAAGATTCGCTGCTATTGATGCGAATAGAACTTAAAAAAGTTGCGTAGTTGGGACAAACGAGTGGTGACCGTGGGTGGAACGCGACAGAAGCCGTAGATCGGTGGTCAGTTGGCAAAGCTCATTGTCAGACGGTGCATACGAAAGGACTGCATTTACACAGGCGCCGAAGCTTCCCTTACGTGTACACATAATTCCAATTACGCTCTTCACAGTATCTTCGCAACCCCCTAAAGTTTCAATATTGCAGCAATATGTTTCACTAGGATAAACAATAGTCTTGGTTTAAGTCTTTAAATGATTCATGTAATCGATCATTGACATTGAAATCAATTTTCATTTACAATTTGTAGTTTAGCCATCACGTTTTGAATAAATTATTTATAAAAAAATGTTCCTTCCTTTGACAATTACTATTGTCTGCATTTGAATGATCCTTTCACTGGTTAGTAGAAGCAGGTAGTGAACGAAAGAAGGCGCGAAGTAGTTCATGAATGGGAACCAGCGATTTGCCTATCTAATTACCGATTACGCAATTTACGCGTGAGAATTCCGGGTCGGGGGAACAAACGCTAATTGATTCTGAATAAAAAATAGGGAAGCGGTCTGTTCTCGTTTTTGAACTTTCGATTGTCGCGTGTATGGTTCACTCTCGGTTCCAGCTTACCTTTTCAATTATAACAAGCTGCGTGGGAACCCGGTAGATACCATTCTGCTTTTTCTATGCCTCGCCGCGAGTAAGACTTAGAAAGGTAATCGTCGTTATGCACGTAACGTAGAAAGCATGGGAATATTTCTCCGACGGATCAAGTCGACCATCAAACGGTCATCATAGGAGAAAGGATAGTATTTACATAATTATTCAAATTCCATTTTGTCCTCGTTTAGTATTGCAAGAACTGATTGTTAAATGTACAAATAATTTATCCGTAAAAAGAATAGCTGTCGTCCCGTTGAAGAAAAGTAATCGATTTTTGGTGAGAAAGGAGGTCAAAATGTTTTGTAACGTATATTATTTCCTCGTTGATAAAATTAGGCGAGGTAGAAGCGTATAACGAGCACAGACTGCTGTCATTCCTTTAAAATTGCAATTGCCGTGAATAAACTGCGCATGCAAATTCCTGTTTTCATAAATAAAATTAAAGAACGTTTGTTCTCTCTTTCTTTAAATATTGTAAATTACATTCTACTTTGGATATTCTGTGTTTCTTTCAATTATTGAAAGTTCTTATAAATGTATAAAAATCCGCGGTCTACTTATGGATCTGTTACGAAAATTCTGACACCTTAAGTAATTCGTGAATTCCACAAAGTACGCACGCACACAACACGTTAAACACGTATGTGCAGTTATAGCAAGTCCCGAGGTTAGCAATCGGCTGACCTCGAAACATAAACGTGAAATAACCGCGGTAAAACGTAACGTGGTATTATAGTAGCTAGAAATTACAATGCGTGGTTTATACTTCGACTCATGTGTCTAATTACAATCACACTTGCAATTATAAGTTTGCTAATTCTAGTTAAACAAAAAATGTTCGACTTCGTCCAAGTCTCCTTCCATCGGAAGTTTAATGGAACTGGAGAAAAGTATTATAAGTTTAACGTAAATGATACAAATGGTTTCTCTATCATTCTCTACATTCATTTGTCACATTCAGAAACGAGTTTTCTCCACGTTTGACATAAAGTTGAAGCAGTTTGCTTCTTATGATTTCAACGTCTCTTTTCTTCGAATTCTGAAATCTCGTTTCTTCTTGAAGACACATCAGTGCCTCTCTTTAAGTAGAATATATTAAATATGGTTCCCTCCTTGGGGAGATACGTATATCTTTGACCAGTTCTTTGGTGTAACGGTGACACCATAACAAAAAGAGTGCCCTAGGGAGCGGTGAACGTTCCCGTTGCTCGATATTTCTTCAGATCACGTAATCTTTCTGTACGTCGCAGCAATAAATTTCGGCGTTTCGTGTCTCGTTTGTCAGCTCGAGTATGTACAACTTCATCGAAACCGTTATGAACATTTCCTTTCGCAATGCAAAAAACGACACAAAGGCATTAATCGTGTAAACGTTTAAAATATCGTTTACCGACCTATCGCTATTGTCTCGAACTGTTAACGAAAGTATTTCACATCTTACTGTTAAAAGCAACTTATAACACCTTTAACGCGACAACCGATCCCAATTTGGTGCGCTCGGCGTAGAAATCGATACGTTCATGCTGTATCGTCGACCTCGTTTTCATACGTACCTGCGGCTCGCAAAAAAATGGAAAAAGCGGGTCATCTTGAAAAGAAGGAAAATTGGAAGCTAAGTAATTAACTCGCGCGAGCTCGTTCGCGATGTTTACTGACTTCCTGTGCGGGCTCGTACCTCCGGGCGATACTGTCAATTGAACTGTGAAAACTTGGCCCGTAAAACAGCGTCCCTACCTCTTTAGAATCGTGTCACGAATCCCGAGTATCGAAAGTGTCTCGACTCTCGTCAAAGGAAATATTTGTAAATAGTATTTAGCTTTATACTATCATGTAACTGTTCACACGTATCTTGCCATGACGTATTCAAGAATATTGAGAGTGATTGAACTCTAATGAAAGAAAATATTTGTAGATAGTATTTAGCTTTATGACTACTCATGAGCACATAATAGACCTGCGCTAAATATGAACAGGTTTACTTCGGTTACTGTACTACAGGCGGTTAAGCAGTTTTAGCAGAGAGAAAAAACGGAGTGTCTATGTTTCTCAGGGTGCTAAGGTATGGGTGCCACATCCAGACAGAATCTGGGAGACCGCGGCGCTCTTGGAAGATTACAAATCGAATCAGACGACCCTGAAGGTTCACGTGGACGATGCGAATCAGACGAAGGTCTTGGTGATAAAGTCAGACGCCGACCTCCCGCCGCTGAGGAACCCGGACATACTCATAGGGGAGAACAATTTGACTTCGTTATCGTTCCTCCACGAGCCGGCCGTACTTTACAATCTTCAGATACGTTTTCAACGGCACAACATTTACACGTACTGCGGCATCGTGCTGGTGGCTTTCAATCCGTACAACGAACTACCGATTTACGGAACGGACACGATATGGGCGTACAGAGGCCAGGCGATGGGCGATTTGGAGCCCCACATATTCGCCGTCGCGGAGGAAGCTTACACGAAACTCGAAAGGTTAACAGATCTTCTATTTTTCAGGCTACGGACTTTTATATAATATGTACTATCAGTTGATTCAATTAGCAATTCATCTGAATTTTTATATTAATCATTGTATAAAAAAATAGTACAACAATTAGTACATAAAACATTGTATTAAACACGGTGTTTACGAATAGAATGCATAAAAATTGTAGGGAGGGTCACGACCAATCCATCATCGTTTCCGGCGAATCCGGGGCTGGGAAAACAGTTTCCGCGAAATACACTATGCGATACTTCGCTACCGTCGGCGGTTCAACGACCGAAACTCAGGTCGAGAAGAAGGTCCTCGCTTCTCTGCCCATTATGGAGGCCATCGGTAACGCGAAGACAACGAGGAACGATAATTCGTCGAGATTCGGGAAGTTCATTGAAATTCAGTTCAACAAACATTACCACATCACCGGAGCTAGTATGAGAACTTATCTACTCGAGAAGTCAAGGGTCGTGTTTCAGGTACTCGCAGAATAATCGCGTCGATTATTATGAAAATGGTATAGAAAAATAGAAAGATTCTCGTATTTATAATTTAAATGAAAGTTAGTGAAGAATTACCAGTTTCATAATGACCATCACGTACTTAAGCGATCCGAAATTCGAATTAAACGAATGATTCCTTAGGCGTACGAGGAGAGGAATTATCACATATTTTATCAGATGTGCGCGGCCGCTAAGCGCCTTCCGCATTTACGTTTAGACCACCAGAGGAACTTTCACTATTTAAATCAAGGGAACAATCCCGTCATAGACGGTGTGGACGATTTAGTATGTTTCGACGAAACCGTAAGCGCTCTCACGATGCTTGGATTCTCGTCGAAGCAGCAGGACGATATGTTTCGAATTCTGGCTGCCATCATGCATTTAGGGAATGTAAATATATATGGTTCCGATAACCAGACCATGGGAAGCGACAACGAGGCCAGCTACATTCACGTAAATCTAGCGATTTTAATTATCTCGGTGACCAGGAAAGTCAGCGCGGATTTTTATAAAAAAATAAAACATTTACTCGGATTCAATGATGTTGAAAACGTATGAGATCGAGGAGTTTCGATCATTCGAATCCTGTACTGTAGATCCACGCGGACTTCCGGTACCGAGACGACATGTACTTTCCACCGAGAAAATCGATTGACGCACGCTTTCCCTTTTTAGCCGTCGGACAAACACCTTTTAATAATCTGCGAGCTGCTAGGCATCGACGTGAACGCGATGAGGAAGTGGCTGTGTCACAGGAAGATCGTCTCGATGAGGGAGGTGTTCCTGAAGCCGATGAATGTCGAACAGGCGGTCGGCGCGCGGGACGCGCTAGCCAAACACATTTACGCTGAACTGTTCAACTGGATCGTTGCCGGTATCAATAATTCGTTACAGTCTCAGAACAAACCGCAGTGCTTCATCGGCGTCCTCGATATTTACGGTTTCGAGACCTTCGAAGTGAACTCGTTCGAACAGTTCTGTATAAATTATGCGAACGAGAAGCTTCAGCAGCAGTTCAATCAACATGTTTTCAAGTTGGAACAAGAGGAGTACTTTAAGGAGGAGATCGAATGGACGTTCATTGATTTCTATGACAATCAACCGTGCATCGATCTCATCGAGACCAAACTGGGTATCCTCGATCTGTTGGACGAGGAATGCAGGGTCGGTAATTCTAAAATCTCCTACGAGTCAATTCGTCGGATTGTATGATTGTCAAACAGTTATTTTACACAGATGCCGAAAGGCTCGGACAGCTCTTGGGCCGAGAAACTCTATGCGAAATGTGGCAAATCGAAGCACTTCGAGAAGCCACGGTTCGGCACTTCCGCTTTCCTGATCCACCACTTCGCCGACCTGGTGCAATACGAGACGATAGGCTTTTTAGAAAAAAATAGGGACACCGTTATCGAGGAACAAGTCGACGTTCTACGAAACGGAGATGTACGTAAAATTCCTCCTCGTGTACGTTCGTGTATCTCATGAGTTGTTTATTATTTCAGAATAAATTGTTGAAGAAATTGTTCAGCGAGGAAGATCCGAAGCTTGTAGTGCCGCCGAACGTGAGAGTGAAAGTATCTGCTCAAAAACCAGTATTAAGTACGCCTAAGCAAAATAAGAAAACGGTAATTCGAACAAGAAACTGTTGACTAGTTCAGAGTTAAGAACGGTGTCTGTCTAAAATCCTCTATAGAAAAATTTGGATAATCGCGATGAAATTTGTAGGTAGGATCGCAGTTCCGTGACTCGTTGAACATGTTAATGTCGACGCTGAACGCGACCACTCCGCATTATGTGCGCTGTATCAAACCGAACGACACGAAGGAAGCATTCGAGTACAACCCCATACGCGCGGTCCAGCAATTACGGGCATGCGGTGTCCTCGAGACGATACGGATATCCGCGGCAGGATTCCCCAGTCAGAGGACGTACAGTGAATTCTTCCTCCGATACAGATGCCTGTGCAGGTTCAAGGAAATACGACGGGACGATCTCAAAGAGACCTGTCGACGTATATTAGAAAGGTCTGTTACCTGTACATTCGACTGGTGCAACGGAATTAGCTGAATCTCGGTAATAACTTGTTTAGATACATCAAGGATGAAGATAAATTTAAATTCGGAAAAACGAAGGTCCTGTTTCGAGCTGGTCAGGTAGCTTATTTAGAGAAGCTGCGAGGGGAGCGGCAACGTGACGCTTGTATCATGATTCAAAAGACGGTGCGGGGTCTGATTTATAGTAACAGATATAAAAAGATACGACGGGCCGTACTCGGTCTACAACGATACGGTAGAGGGTACATCGCGAGGCAGAAGGCTCAGGCTGTAAGGGAGACGAGAGCCGCGATAAAGATACAAGCCTGCGTCAGAGGATGGCTGCAGAGGCGTCGGTACCTTCAGATAAAACGCACAATCCTTGGTATTCAGACGTACGGCAGGGGTAAACTAGCGAGGGAGAGGTACAGGTTGATGAAGGACAACGCCGCCGCGATCGTGATTCAACGATTCGCCAGAGGATACCTCGTGCGAATGGCTTGCAAGAAAAAGTTAAGGGATATTATTATTGTTCAGTCGAGCGTGAGAAAGTACTTAGCAAAGAAGGAGTTCAAGAGATTGAAGGCTGAGGCGAGGAGCGTGGAGCATGTGAAATCGCTGAATAAGGGATTAGAAAAGAAGATTATTACGTTACAGCAAAAAATAACTGAACTTGTACGTTGCAATTTCATTTCTTACTCGCCGGGAGCTCTGATATTAAGAGTGAACATTTGATCTCTTCTTCTTATAGACGAAAGAGAATCAAGTGCTAAAGAACTTCCAGAACGAGGTGGTAGACATGAAACACAAACTCGAAGGGTTGAAGTCTGTAGAAGCAGAGAACAAGAAACTGAACTATGTACTCTTAAAGAAAAAGGAGGAATTGGAAAAGATACAGGAGATAATCAAAATTGAGAGAGATGAAAAAATGGACATTTTGCTGGTAATTTGTTAACATGAAATTCTGAGTTTCCTATTAGATGATTTACTAAACTTAATGTGTTATAGGACAAGGAGAGGAACAGCCAAGAGAAGGAAGAACAAAATAAAAAGCTTCAAGAGGAAATCGAGAAGCTGCAAAAAGAACTGGCGATGGCTAATGAAAAACTGACGAACGATCAACGCGGTGCCGAGGAGATCTTGAAGCACCGTTTGGAACAGGAGAAGGATCTCCTCCTGTTGGATCAGGATCAAGACCGCGGCGCCTATCAGAAACTGCTGAAAGATTTCCACGAACTGGAGCAGTACACGGAAACATTGGAACAGAAACTCGCTATGAACGGTCCCGCGCATTCGCGATCGTTGAGCAATGCTTCCAGCGGTAGTGGACAAATCGTATCCGCGGAATTATCACAGGAAGAACAGAATCTGGTAAGATCGTATCTTTAATCTAATTTCTTTCTGACTCAATAGTTAGGAGCTGGAGTTCGAAATATAACACGTGATTAACTGATTAATTGCACGAGTAACGAGCTTTCGTTTGATCTCGAAGGATTTGGGTTATGGATCGGTGAGATCGACAAATTCGTCGTCGACTCCTTATTCGCGGGTGGAGTCGATTAATTGGCAGCAAAGATCCGACAGTCCGCCCGATGGAGAGACGCAATCGCATAAATCGCCCTCGGAAACGAACGGACCGACACACGCGCCAGTAGACATCGGCCTGGTCTTAAAACTTCAACAAAAACTGAAGGACGTTGAAAAGGAGAAGGGCCGATTGATCAGGTTGGTAGAAGATCTGGAACGAGACAGCATCGACGAAACATCAAGGACGCAAGATTCATTCAGGGTAATTTCTAATACAAAAAATACGAAACGCTGGAAGAAGAGAGGATATTAAGATGTATCTTCGATTTGTAGCTTCAAGAATTGGAAATGGAAAATGCCCAGTTAAAGAGAGATTTAGGTACACTGAGGCAAAGCGTGTCCTCGGTCGGTGCGCTGGGCGCGCAACAGAATCTAATGGGTAACTGCTTAAAATATGTGGCTAAGGGATTTATTAATTATTGGGTTTTTGGGGAATCGTGATTTCTGTTCTAATTTCACGTAATGCTATTAATCAGAGCTTCGTTTGTAACATAGTACGCGTACATTGCATCCTCATGGGCTTCGCATTTGCATTCACCGTCCCTCATCTGCTTCATGTACATATATTAGTACCAATAAAAATACTAGTACATAACATTGCATATTCTATCTTTCCCCTTACACATAACAAACTGCTTAACTCTTTTACTGTTCAAAACATTATAACAAATAAAACGTTTTAGTAACAATTTCTTTCTTTCAAAATTCTCTTGAAACATATAAGCGGATAAATTGGAGAGACATAATTTCGCTTTTAGGACAATTCGACGCGCTTCAAGAAGAGCTCGAGAGAAGACGGGAGGAATGTATTCAACTGCACAGCGTATTAGCCGACAATACGCAGAGAATGAAGAGCTTAGGCTCGAATTATGGTCGGGATGTGGATATCATTAACGAAGACGGAGAGCTGGTTCTTGCCTTCGAGACGCAGAAAAAAATCAACAGGTATTTTAAAGTTCCCTGTACGATCGAATGTTTATTTCTCCGTGAGAAGAGGAAACCGTGTCTAATCGTGGTTTTGTCGTTTGTGCATGCACGTCGATTTTCAGTAGACTTAAGTCAAAGGCCTCAAGAGAGTGAGTTGAGAAGATATTTTGCCCGCGATTAATCCATCATGATTCATTTAGCAATTTTTACGCTGTTCAGTCGGGATCAACAAAATTTTAGCGAAATTCATCGATTGCTGAACATTTCATTACTTTAGTGCTAGTTTCTTCGAGTGAACGAGTTCGCGGAGAACAAGGTCACTGGCGTACTTAATAACTTTTAACGTTTCGCTTAAAGGCAATTAGAGGATGAACTTCAGACGAAGGAGATAGGATGGCGAGCACGGAGGGACGAATGGATGGCGGAGATCGATAAGCTGCAGGAAGAAATTGAGAAGCAACAGAGATTGCTGTCTGTGAATCTCAGCAAGTCGCCACAGACTCAGACCGAGGCTTATATGCAACACGAAATAGCCAGGCTGACATCCGAGAATCTGGTAAGTATCTAATTATTAATCGATATCATATACGTATTATTCAATTAATAATTTGAATACAGGAACTGCAGGAGAAATACGACAAGATAGCAGAAGAATGTAGGAGATTCAAGAGGCAATGCAAGATCCTAGCTAAACGACTGAGAGATGCTGGCTGTAAGTACGAGTCTAATTATAGTATAGAATAATTAAATAAGAAACTGAAGAACAGTGATGGAGAATTAGAGAATTATAATATTGTAATATTTAAATGCTTGCAAAGATGAGGGAGACGAAACTAAGGAAACTAAGGATCGGCCTTACGTTTCAAATCGCACCGGTGAGCGTGTGAATCGATGTTACCTCATCTCGTTTCACTCACGATTTATTTTATTAGCGATTCGCACATCTTCACCTCTTTCATCTTAGAATTCTCCCATATTTCAGATCTCACACTTTCACCAAGTACTTGTTCATCTAGAATAATTGATTAATGTTTATTTTATAGTACCAGATGCTACAGACCCTGCAAACGAGTCTACGATCATGTCTTCCACCGGTCATTCGGGTGAGAGCAACAGTAATTTGCCAGCAATCCGGAAGAAAGAAAGGGACTACGAAGGGATGTTTGAGTTTAAGAAAGAAGATGTCAACGTGATGATACGTCACCTCGTAATCGGTAAGAAGCTCGATCAATCTTGATCTCCAACAGCTTATGAGACGAATTTGTTTCAGATTTAAAACCCAGAGTCGCGGTGACATTGTTACCTGGCCTACCAGCTTACATCTTGTTCATGTGCATACGGCACACCGATTGTATAAACGACGACGAGAAAGTGAGATTGTTGTTAACCAACTACTTGAACGTCGTGAAACGTGTCGTAAAAAAACGCGAGGACTTCGACTCGAGTGTGCTTTGGCTCAGCAACACGCTGAGGCTGTTGCACTGCATGAAACAGTATTCCGGTGACAAACCGTTTCAAATTAAAAACACCCCGAGACAGAACGAACAGTGTCTCAGGAACTTCGATCTAAGCGAATACCGGGTCGTGTTGAGCAACTTCGCGCTTTGGATTTTTAACAATATCGTGACGAACGTTAAAGAGAGGATCCAAGCGTTGACGGTACCGGCCCTCCTCGAACACGAGGCGATATCGGGCGTGAACTCGAATAAACACGGCCGGCCGAGATCCTCTTCTATGGGAGAGGAACCGGAGTCTACGCAACAGAAACTTAATAAACTCCTGAACGAGCTTACCTTCGTATACAAGACTCTTCAATACCACGGTGTCGATTCCGAGATCGTCGTGCAAATTTTCAAGCAACTTTTCTACTTCATGTGCGCCAGTGCCCTGAACAATCTTCTTCTGAGAAATGAGCTCTGCCAGTGGACGAAGGGCATGCAGATAAGGTTCGTCGGCTTGTTCAACCCGGTCACTTTTAACTTGATCGTTTCACTTGATCCCATGTTTCGTTTTTAGGTACAACTTGAGCCACTTGGAACAGTGGGGAAAAGACCGAAGGTTAGAACACGCGTCCGAGGCGCTAGAGCCAATTATACAAGCGGCGTACCTTTTGCAAGCCCGTAAAACAGACGAGGATGTAAATTCCGTTTGCGAGATGTGCAATAAGTTAACTGCGAACCAAATAGTGAAAATTCTAAATTTATACACGCCCGCCGACGATTTTGAAACGCGCGTGCCGGTATCGTTCATCAAGAAGGTACAGGCGAAACTGAGCGAACGCGGCGAGAACAACGATCAAGTGAGTATGAATTTTGTTAAGTTCCCGCGCATTTATATTCAAATAAAATAACCATGAAACTGAGAAGAACTACTAGAAAAGCGAGTTTTATGTATGATCGTACGAAAGCTTGGTGCTACTTAGGCATCCGAATTAGTGGTGTATGAGAACTCGAAAGTATGCAGAAGCAGGTGATCGGGACGGGCCGGGTTTCCGAATATTTCTAGATTCACGGTTGTCTCGAGATTCTCGCAGACCACTAATCCGAACGAATCATCAGTTGACGGCAAACTGGCAGCATACAATCATATTTCATAGCATTCTGCCAGGGCATAACGCCTATCACGATTTGGCACTAGTTTGCTATCTGTTTGGCTTGTCAGTTCTCTGATACAGCCTCGCAAACCGATGCCAGAAATAAGAGTTACTTGATTAAATTTTGTTTCAGCTGCTGATGGATCTAATGTACTCGTACCCGGTAAGATTCCCGTTCAATCCATCGGACATCCGACTGGAAGATATTGAAGTACCGGAAGTACTCCACTTGGCGATGCTCAAAAAAGTGTAATCATAGAAAGGGAGAGAATTTAGTTAGCGGTCCCGCTCTGTGCATATAACATTTAGTTGAGTAACGCGTAATCAAATTCGTATAGCCTATTTATTAAAATGAGGTAACGGAGGAGAATAAAATATAATTAGATTCATTCGGCAGAGTCAAGTAATGCATCGATCGGGTCATCGATATTACCGTTTTATATATATTTTTTTTACTCGCGTCATTCCTATTTTATAATAATATTATTTCTAGTTTTGTCCGCAAAAAATTGTAAGTTCTTCAAATTCGTTCTGTCGGAGACACGCAGCGTTTCCTCGATAATGTTCGTAAATACTTCCTCCCTCAATACATATTGTTCACCGTCTTTGGAATCGCTTCGACGGTGTTCTTATTTATTAACGATGATGATCTGTAGATTTATTTGCAAACATTCGCGAGGGAACGCTGTGCGTGCATTTTTCGTTATTTTGAAATTGTATGTATAAACGTACATGTACATACCGGTTGAATCAGCGGATGGTGTTAATATAAGGCTCTGCTGGAGCTTGCAATCGATACAATCTGGAAACTGGAAAGGTGTATTACATAGACGTATGTACGGTAACGAAGAAGCAATGCATTAGATATTAATAACGCGAGGTGTATACGATGAAACGAAGTGCCGAATTCTGTATCGCGTAATACAGAAATGTTGTTGTCAAGATTAAAAATGTTTAAGAAACGCGTTGTCTCTCGATATTGTTTATCGAATGTTAACGACGAGATATTGCAACTCCGAGCAAGAACTTTATTCGGGCGATGCTGGAAAAATGTACTTAAATAAAGAATGAAATCTGAATGGATATTGTAACGTTACGTTGGGATAGATTGTATATTTTGTGATACGAAGAGACATCCCATAGGCTGAAGAGAGTGGAAAACAGATATATATATATACATTGTTGTTATAATTTATAAATATGTACACAAGCGATTGTATTATATTTTGTGCCATTTTATTAATAGAATGTAACAAAATTCTATTACCTACGTCGATCGATCTGCATTTACGTACGCTTCACGGATATACGTTCCATAAAAAGCATTATTTCTTTTTGAAACCGAATTCCCACGATTCGTAATGTACAGAAAGAACGTTTGTTTACACCCATCACACCTTGACTCGATGTGACAAATTTATTTGTTCCTACAATGAAAATAATAAAAAGACCGTTAATGAAAATGATACTCTCCTCGATCGACCCATGGATTTATCCGGAGTACAGGGATTAGATTTCATCGATATCATTAATAGTAAAATGTTTTATTTCGTACCATGTTACGTATAAATTATCATCGTCGTACGAACGAGAAAATATTAATTGAACGTAAGAATTCCATCAATTAGAATTGTGAATGAAGCTCGAACAAGCGAACAAGGTGAAATGAAAATAAAGAAAGGCATTATGCGATATATTCAGGCCGCGTCGTTCGGTGAACGTATGTCATCGATCTTTAGTATCATTTTGACCAGTTGAGTAGCCAACATGATTTGTTGTACCTTACTCGTCAGCGTCTCGATCACGTTCTGCACTTGCATGTCTGTAATAACAAATAATCATTAATTTCTAATTTATCGTTATCAAAAATAAAGAACGCAGAATACGTACCACAAGTGCCGCGATTTAAGCAGTCGACGCCGAGAGTAGGATTATTCTCGGCTATCTGGCGTGCCTTGATTTCAGCCAGTGAATCAACGGGCGACAGGCCGGAGTTCTCAGCAAGCGCCATGGGCACAGCTTCCAGCGCTTCGGAGAATGCGCGGAAGGCGTACTGTTCCAGGGTGCTGATCTTGTTCGCCTTGGCCGCGCATGCAAGAGCGCAAGAGATCTCGGCCGCTCCTCCGCCGTACACGATTTTCTGGTTTTTGATCACGTTACGAACTGTGCACAGCGCGTCGTGAATAGCGCGTTTCGCTTCCTCGATGATCTAAAGTATTTCATTAAGTTCTTTCACTGAACCAGTAAGATTGCTGCCGTATAAAATTGTAGCATTACTGATATTAGAATTGCAAGTAGATTGAACAATAAAATGTATATCGTAATGCTTTAATTTTGCAAGGTGTCTGGTCAGTTAGGTATATTTGCATACCGCTGAAATTCTCCTTGCTCACATTGTTACGCGAATAAATTACGAAGTATGTTACCATTTTGTTTCCACCACGGATGAAGATGGTAACTGCTCGAGAGTTCTTGCATTCTTCGATGACTAGCATCCGATCCTTAGTAGTGCCGAACGTAAGTTCTCTGACGACACCCGCGTGACCTAGTTTTTCTGGCGTCAGTTCTTCGAACCGAGGAACGATACGACCACCAGTGGCGATAGCTATTAACTGAACAAATTGAAAAGCATGGTTTCACATCTCCTTATTCAGATTTCCATAGAATTAAGAGAAGACGAATCAAGCCCTCAGATCTCATAATCCTTTGGTCACAAGAGCACTGCAGAAGAATGATAACTAGCTGAAAAATTTCAGAGATCTCTACTAGTTCACGAGGAACTTCGATCTAAAAAATTGTACAACTAGTTTTCAAACTCCTACCCCTCTTCCGTTGAGTTTTTTTCATCATCGGGCAAACTGGATGAACGTATAATTAACGAGAGTTGTTGGACTTACCTCGATCTCCGGGCCACCGACCCATCTTACTGCTGGTAGTTGATTTTGAAGGAGGAGGTGATTGGCTTCATCGTCGAATCCCCATTGACAAATAGCAAGAGTCGCACCAGCGTCTTTCACTCTCTTTACCATTTCGGTGAACTTCTCCCGTTCGTAATCGCGCAACGCTCTATAATCGTCGACCGAAGTGACATCCAACTTATGTTTGGTCTTAGGTTTCGGTGGTTCGAACGGACACGTTAAAATAGCTAACTTAACATCTTCTAATCTCTGCAACAAATAACAAGACCGTATGTCTTTAGTAAAAGAATGCATAATTCGAGCTCGTCGGAAATTGAGAAAAATATTTTCAGCTCTCATAATCTTTGATCATTGAAGCCACTGCAAAGACCGAATTCCTGAATAGCTGTTTACACAAGATCTCGAACTTTTCCCCAGGTTACCAGAAAAGTATCCAAACGAACAGTTCCAAGTCCCGTAAATAAATCAGCTAAACAGATTTTCCGAATCTTCACCCTTCTCTATATTTTTTTTTCATCATAAGTATAACATATTTTCAAGAGAATGTAAAGAATATTTTGTTTTACAATTAATTTTACCTTGGGCATTTGAGGATGGCTGAAATCTTTGTCAATAACGACGCCGCGCACTAGAATAGTGTCTTCTAGCCTGCCTCCAACTTTTCCTTCTACTTTTATCAGTTCAAAGTTAACATCACGTGTAGCAGGATCCAGAACTGCGAACACAGCGTTCACAGCTATTTCCGCCATTTGCCTATGACACTTGTTGATACTGAAAAAGATAAAGATGCCCTTGATATTTCTTGATTACATTGAATTCCGATAATTATGAAATATTCTTATTACATTTTCGAGCCAAGACTGGTCATAGCAATTTTGATGTAAGGCTCCAAGTTGTCTGGAGTGCCTTCGAAGTCATACACAATCTTTTTTAAATGATCCGTCGCACACTCTGCTGCCATTTCAAAACCATCTGCTATTCTAATTGGATGAATTCCCTTATCTAACAGTTGCTCTGCTTGATCCAAGAGAGCTCCAGCTAAAACGACTACTCCAGTAGTACCGTCTCCAATTTCATCGTCCTGAGATTGAGATAACTGGACCATTAATTTAGCAATTTCATGGTCCACGTCCATGTTTTTCAGGATTGTTGCTCCATCGTTCGTGACAGTGACATCACCGTCGGAACTGACCATCAGCTTGTCAAGGCCCTTAGGACCCAACGAGGTTCGCAAGATATTTGCAACATTACGTCCTGCCATAATATGTGACTGCAATAAAAAAATAACTATTCGTCATAAAGAAGTATTCGAAATAATTCCAAACGGGAATCTCGTCGAACAACATCGGGCCTTATATGGGCAAAAGTCGCAGGCAATACAACACGCTAAATTTGCTCAATTATTAATAGTACTAATTTTTGCGTTGGAAAGTTAAAATTCATATAACAGAATAAAACCATACAAATTCGTAATATGTATTAAAGAAAATGAGATTTCTCATGTTCGAAAATTAATTGCCAAGCCCAAAATGTCGCCATTGTTGTTTCACGTGGTCGATGGAAAACAGAAAGTGAACGAAAATTCTCATTCCTTGGTTCAGTAGGGGAAAGATATAATAATGAAGAAAAATATTATTTTATTTCGATCTGACAAGTCTATAAATGATTCATTTAAAATACGGTGTTACCTTGATGGCATCGGTGCCGGTTAGACGCTTTTGCTTCTCTTGATCACGAAGGATAATGAAGGTCCGACCATATTCGTCGAAGGCCACGGTACCAGGTAACGTGGTCATTTTGCTCGTTTGATAAACGTTAGTAGGACAATTCCGTTTAAAACAATTCTAGATTTTGTACACTCACGTTCCCTCGTCGTCAGACCTCGGCGACCATTTTGTTGGTCTGAACCGTCTGAATTTATCGTGAATTCATCATGAGAACAGCGCCGCCTATTCTGGAAAGTTCGGGCGGGTCGAGCACAACCGCTCAATGATGAAGTGAGTTGGTGAGTAGTGACAGTGACCTTCAGGAGCAAAATATTCAACTTTAATGTATTTTTTATAACGGATTTTATTAAGTATCGAGTTAAATAAAAACCGTGCAAAGAAAAATGACGAAACAAACAGTAGTGATGAACTTTATATGTATTGTAGAATTACACAGTGATATTAGTGATTCTGCCAGTAGCATTAGTGAATTCCGAAACGAAAAACGGTACTGCCCTTAAAGTTAACGTCTGGAATGGAAAGAATTATGTAAAAATAACAGAGTAAATATGATTCCTTTATTTTATTCCTATACTTTATATTTACTCAACATTCTTACGAATAAAAACCTGCCTCATAAAATTACGTATGCAGCGTCTGTTTTCATCACTTTTAAATTGACAACGTTTGTTTGGAGTTAAAAGTCATCCTGTAATAGTCTTGAAGTGCTACTAGTTAATGTTAAACTTCCAAATAAGTGTAGAATCGAAATGAAAAGAAAAGATGTTTTTAAACGACAATCATTTATTATAATATTCAATGGCGAAAGTAGAATACAGTTTTATCAGCCAGAGGCATTTTCTATTCGGGATTGACACCGTTTTCCGCTGAGGATGATCAAAAAAATGTGTTGAGCCAACGGTACATGAAACAATTGTTACAACTGTAGCACGGTCGCGTAATATAAAACAATGACCCTCGGTCAGTTATTACAACATTTAAGTTACGCTAAAAAAAATATAACTCTTATTACCAGTGACAATAATTCTTTCGTATAAGTAAAATATCGTTTTTTGCTGTCACTCAGCTTGCCTAAGAATATATATGTTATGTATAATATATCTATAATATCTCTTAAACATTCATCTTACATATAATGGGTATAATTTTTGGAGTAACTTTGCCGGTCACGTTCACTTTCATAAAGTAATAGTCTGTACTTGTAAAACAATTTTCGAAAATTCGCTTCGTATTAAGATTGGCAATATAAAAGAAAACCAAGTCTGGAACAAGCATCTTCATAAGATTCATGTTTAACAATTATTATCATTCGTAGATCCAACAAAGTTACGCGCCCAGGGACGCTCTATACATACATATACACAATTATATACATGCGTATGTGTACATATACACGAGCGCATCGTCGGAGGCCACATGTACATGAACTTACAGGTAACAACCCTTTACCAATTACCCCATCTCTTTTACACAACGATACGAACGATTAACACTTGAGAATGACGTTGATCGATTCTCTCCGCGTGAAAACTTGCACAGTTTTTTTATTAATGTCAGGACTAGTTCAATGGCAGATCTTCGACCGAGTAGCTAATAGAACAGTCAAGGAACAATGACGGAACGATTAATTAATAAATTACAGTCTTGTTAATCTGATGCCAGCAGACTGTCGTTGAGGCAGGGCGAGCAGTGCACTCTCTCGCCTTGCCTCANTTCATCTTACATATAATGGGTATAATTTTTGGAGTAACTTTGCCGGTCACGTTCACTTTCATAAAGTAATAGTCTGTACTTGTAAAACAATTTTCGAAAATTCGCTTCGTATTAAGATTGGCAATATAAAAGAAAACCAAGTCTGGAACAAGCATCTTCATAAGATTCATGTTTAACAATTATTATCATTCGTAGATCCAACAAAGTTACGCGCCCAGGGACGCTCTATACATACATATACACAATTATATACATGCGTATGTGTACATATACACGAGCGCATCGTCGGAGGCCACATGTACATGAACTTACAGGTAACAACCCTTTACCAATTACCCCATCTCTTTTACACAACGATACGAACGATTAACACTTGAGAATGACGTTGATCGATTCTCTCCGCGTGAAAACTTGCACAGTTTTTTTATTAATGTCAGGACTAGTTCAATGGCAGATCTTCGACCGAGTAGCTAATAGAACAGTCAAGGAACAATGACGGAACGATTAATTAATAAATTACAGTCTTGTTAATCTGATGCCAGCAGACTGTCGTTGAGGCAGGGCGAGCAGTGCACTCTCTCGCCTTGCCTCACGTCTTCAGCTCTCGGTTTCGAATTGATCTTTTTACTACGAGCCTCGAAATATGTCATAACACAAAAGTGTAATAATTTCGAGGCAATCCGAGGTGAGACAAGCAGCACTCGCCTCAGTTAAGCTTCTCGTCAATGCATTCGGTAAAACACTTCGACGAGACGAGTTCCGACCCACTTTGCATGCACATGAAATATACAAAAATCTATTCTAAATCCTCAATTCAAAATGAAATATCTTGAACTTTGAACTTTCATTTGAAGTTTCTGATTTCAAATCTTGACGAACAGAGTGACAGAATGAAATATAGAATAGACAAGTAGGGAAATAGAGCTTATGCTGCATGATTAAAATTTAATTTTTGCCTTTGGGCATGCCACGTGGGTGGAGAATTCTTTTAGGTAGCCGGTAGCCGTACTGCTGGCACAGCATCTGACCGTTTTAAAGTAGTAGCCGTGAAAATTAATTCTCTTAGGATCTATCTAAATTTTAACTATACGTTCATGCCATTGTTGTTCATCAATGGTTAAACGTCAAGCCTAGCGTCATGATAACCGAGATTCATCTTTAAAACTTCACTTTTTGAATTTAATCCCTGACCCCTCGCGAAACTGAGATTTTTAATTATAGAAAAGAATTGCTTTTGCAATGTTTCCAAAAAAGTAATACGTCATGCAAAATGTTAAGAATCTTGCATTAAAAAATCAAAGTAAGAGCATTGCGAAAATTGCTTTATAAAATTTATATGAAATAGAGTAGAGGAGAAACGTAAGAAGCGGATTGATGGGGTTTGAGATCTAGATTCATATTACAGCTTCCTATCTGCCCTCAGTAAAAAATCCAAGTAGTGTACGTCTAAGTAAACTTTTGGATATCATTGCATCACGACTACTACCTTGAGGAAATCAATAAAAAAATAAGGAACAATCCATCGTGACATACGACACGTACTTCGTTTTAGCCATTGTACGTTCAGTTGAAAATCGGCACACTGATTTTTGTATTCTATCACGCTGAATTAACTACCGTAGTAATTGATTGTAACGATATATGTATATTATAGTATATCAAGCTTGGCAACGATTCCCATTGCCGGTTAGAAAATTAGATGTATTTGGATATACGATTAATTAACCACGTCTAATCACAAATATTTAAGCGCATAATCGACGTTATCGAGCTAGAATATATGCACTCTGCGCCGGAGAAGCTATGTACTTTTTATTATCATCTGGAAGTACTTTCGGCGACGGAGCTCGCGGAGCAGCTATACGTAGTTCGATAAATTAATCCGCGTGTACGACCTAAAGATTATCCATGAACAATATCCCAGCGATACTCGTATGTACACTTCGTCATATTTACACGTAGCGATTTAAAGGAAAATGTTTTTCGCCTATTCTTCACGTTTATCGGAGTTCTCTGCGTAGTTGAAAAATAATAACGTAAGCACCGAAGGAACTTTGCTTTCGACAATGCAGCAGTTAGAATTACTTAGGGCGCTCGTATATGTACATATATGTATACAGACTAGTTAATGGTAACGATTACTGTAACGATTTGTTAGTTTTCTCTTAACAAGTAACGAAGAGATTCAGGTAACAGGTTTTAATTAATCTGTACTCTTTGGGAAAAGAGCAACGATATCGTTCGACTAACTTTTTAAGTAAAGGATGATTGTACACACATACGGTCCGCGGGGATCGTCCCGAAACTGAACAGTGGGGATCTGAAACGAAGAGCGTTTTTCCTAGGCTTTTTCTCTTCCTAAACGGACGATTTACAGAATTTGATTGAACTAGATTCATACGTCTCGAACTACGTTATCAAAAATTTTGATCGTGCTCGATCGCTAGAAAAACAGCTCTCAGAAGAAACGAATCGCTTGAAACGGTAGCCGCGAGACAGACGTAAGAGCGAGTCCTCGTACGTTCAAGCTCTACTTTCTTCGTTGGGAACGTCGGGTCAGGGATCTCTACATATACAGTTGTATACAATGCGATACGGATGTGACTAGAATAGCGTTTAAAAATTTACACGGAGGGTGTATAAAAAGATGGAGTAACAAAGTAGAATTATCTTCTGTAGATTGTATTGAGCACGTGTACGATGCACGAGGACTTGTTCCACGTGCTGTCTCCTATTTGCGCACTTTAAACTATGCTGGGTCGAACCAGTCATCTCAAACTCGCGTCTCTGTTAACGGCCAAAGAAAACGATTGCCACTTTCATTTTCAACCAAAGTAGTTCTCTCGTCGAGTTGCAGAATTTTTAATTAAGAATTAAAATTCAATTGTCAATTGATGTTCAATTAAACTAAGTGTTTAATCGTTTATCTGCAACCCTCCTCGTCTCGAAATATACGGTATATCTCTATCAGGCCCGGGTTTGAGATCCCTGGATCGAGATAGTGACTACTTAACGCCGGGATTCGAAGAACGACCGGCATCGAGCGAACCGTCAGAGTTTCTCCGGTGCCGTGGTCCTGGCATTCTGTGCGGTAGATGGTGAGATCGGACCCGGCCCGACGCTCGTCGATCGTTCCAAGGGATATAATATTTTCTCCGGGGCCGGTTGCGATATTGCACGCTTCGCCACCCTAAAAGAGCTAACGTTCGTTGACGGTTAGTGATCCGGCAGTAAATTCCCCTCTTTCATTTTGGGGATATCTTGCTAATAATCATTATTAAATTCCAAGGCATCCGTTCGCATTGATCAAGACAATTCAATGTGAGAATCTGTAGAATCGACTTCATTTTATATGTATGCATTTTTCGATTGAAATTTCGTCAGTAGTTCTACTGTTGATCATCGTATATTTGAGACGGTAGAATTTCATTTGTCTTGATCAGTGGACTCCGTTCAATGCCAACGAGATATAAAAACATTATTTGAAAAAAAGTAGAAAAAGCGTTAAAAAAGTTTAGTCAGCTATTAATTGCGGGGTTCACGAATCATGCCTAAAGAGCCAACACTGTCGTTTAAACTCGTGAAATTTCTTCAGGTTCTAAACATTATATTAATTAGCGATCTATAATAGAATTGTTTTAATTATGATTTCGACTCTAAGTCCCGTCAGACAAACAGTATATTCGTTATCGTACTTGGCTACCGTCTAAGAGGCTAAAGCTAGAACATTATAAATGTTACGGTGAAGGAGTTCTCGAATCGTAGGCAGAGTCGTAAGAAAGGTTCTCCGTGAGATCTAGGTCGTCAGTCGTGGAAGCAGATGAGGAGACATGAATTAGCAGCGTAGAAATAGCGGTGTAATTAGAATTATACTGAAAGCGTGATATAAATAAATGTAACAACTCCGTGAACAAGAAAGCGTCGGTGAGTGAAGAAATGACTATGAGGCTGTCCCGTCTGGAATGACAGCGACCAAGAGACGATTCGTTAATCATTCCTTCAATGAGTAGACAAACACATCCTCCCATTGTGAATAATATTTAACACGTTGACTACCTCGTGCATTTTACGTGGTTCGCCCACGGCGCCAACATGAATTTCTTATTATGCGATGTATATTATGTCGAAATATTGTCTACAGCAGATGAAGTGAGTTATATAATCGTGTTTAATCAAATTATTTTTGCATGTTCTATATGGCATTAATTTCTTCAAACCATTATAGTAACAGTGGTATTATTTTAAAATTTATCAGTATCGATATTTACTCTAATTATGTATTTTACTATTACCGGTGGCCCCCACGGCGGTCAACGTGTTAGATCGCATCGATATTTCCGATCCCGTGGTTCTACATCCATTCACAATGGTAGCTGTTTGAATATAAAAATGGTAGAGGAAATTAGAAGATAAAAAATAAGTCAGGATAGTTGGTGACGACTGGCTGACTTCGAGCAGAAGAATCAATAATAATTAGTTGCAGGATCTGCGTATCGGCCTCGTTCTCGGCGTTTAAATACACGGCTAGAAATACACATCATATATATAATAAAAAGAAGCATGTTTAAACATTCGTAAAACGCGTGATTAGTCTCATATTTCCGTGATACATACATCGTATGTCCGTGAGTTGTGGTATCTTTTCATTTGAAAACGGCATTCACAATATTCACATATATGTAATATGTATATATATATATATATATATATAAATAATCGTGCATCGTGACAGAGCTTTCGTTCTATAACATGTTCGATCGTGCTGACCATATGTCGTACAAGCAAAATCTCAGCCCAATCTACCAGCAAGTGGGGACACGCGTCTAAAAGATTTGAAAAATATGAAAAGAAACGATCGAAAATGTTCGCATAGTTCCATCGAGTTAAATAAATGACTAGAACGAAAATTGTAAAGTTTATGAAATACTTGACTCGTGAAGGAAAAGGCAAGACATGCTCGATTTCTTCGGATGATCAAAATTAAAAATAATTAATTGATGCACCACTTCTGGTAGATCTAGCTTAATCAACGTGACACAGACATTCACCTAACAGATTTCAAGCGGTAAGGAGCTCTAGTTTACCTTGGTCGCTAAAGTGAGATCAGACCATTTTTCGGGAGGTAACGAAAAGACTGTGTTTTTTTTTTGTATTTAGGTCTCTGTACATCTAGACACTCATATTGTTGATTTAACCACAAATTCTGGACACGTGTATGGCTGATAGATTAAACATTAAGTTTGAGCGTAGAATTGGTGGCGGCTCTTTCGCCCGAGATACATTTGACTAGGTCGCGCGACGCATCTTCACGACAGGTACCTGTAATTAAGAAACTGATAAGCTTTAGATACCTGTCGGACCGTTTTGCAGCTTAGGCGCGCGTGAAAAATTACTATTTGCAAGTCGTTCTCCTTTTGACGCCCCTGACTAATATGATTCCTTAGTATAAACCCAACATCGATTCAACACAACGAGCGGACAATTTACAGAGGAACGACAGATGATACTTTTTACACGGGGTATTATTTCAAATAGAAACGATAGATTATTTCATATCATCGTTAATCGGATATCCCTCGTGTGAAATATTCTACCGTTTCGAGATCGGAAAAGATATGCAATGGGCTCTGCGTAGGCAAACTTATACGTAGGATTATGTACCTTATTCTTGTAGTTAAAATTGTTTTATAGAGGAAATCTTTGCGCACGAAGTGGGATTTTTATTTTTGATTAAACACCGATGAGTGCGATGGCAAGTGCGAGGAGAGTCGCACGCGTGATTGTTCGCCTCTGAAACAACTACTTTTTGCTTGAAACATCATACTGCGGGTTACAGTACGCGGGGGCTATAAAAATACAGCGTTATCTATATGTACAGGCAATACGGATAAAGTTGGATACTCTCACGAGTAGTGCCTTGCACACGTCCCCGCGCGATCTCCTCTCTATGGGACAACATTTATGCACATTTCCATCATTCCGCAGCGATCGATACATCTGGACGTCGAGGATAGGGGGGGTCGAAGAAATTATTACCTTAAAAATGTCCACACATCATCACCGGCGAGGTGCAACAGCGTCGAACACGTTTTAGTATATTGTAAATAAGTATGTCCACATCGAATTTATACGAGACAGACACGGAATATGAATGGCTTACCTTCGCCGCCGAAGTGAAGCGTTTTGCCCGGGTAAACCGAACTGACCTCGCGGTATCACCATACGCGCATTACCCTGAGCAGGCCTCGAGCCTCCGTGCGCCTGAAGCGCGCTCAAGTGAGCCGCGTATCCCTCATGTAGGATTGTCGCTAACGCGTGATGCTTCTTCGACACTTTCCCAATGATGAAGATCTGATTCGGCTTAAGATTAATCGCGGAATAAACGCTAATATCTTTGCTACTACCGTACGCGTGGTGGATTATCACACCGTGTTCCTGCGTAAAGACACAATTTCGAGTATTAAAAATCGATGTCATCAGAGTTAAAATAGTAATTAAAGAAGAATTTGTATTCACCTGAACGAGCTTGTTTAAGTACGCGGCTTTGTGGCCCAGGGGGTCCGTCGAAAGACCGTCAGCAAAGGACACGAGGCCGTGAGGGAAGTTGTGTTGGGACAACCAAGACACGACTTTCTGTTGTTGCATGTCAGGCCTCGCGGTAATGTAAATAATCAAGTATCCCAGTTCCTGCCAATGCCTGATCACAAAAATGAGAATGATCACGGATACGTGAATTAAATAAGAAAATGATCGAATACGTACCTGACGACATCGACAGCTCCGGCTCTAACTTTTGGATCCTTCCCACTAACGGACATACTCGCAGTGAAGGATCCGTCTATGCTAAATACCACACACTCTGTCTTCGGTGGAATCACAGCCAAGAAGAAATCTACTGATGTATGATCGCCCCTGAATCGAGAATCCCATTTAGAACATCTTCTGTGAATATTCTTTTTTAATTAGGATCATTCATATTTTACCTGACGATCATTTTAACTGGATAGAGTCCGTATCCTAGTGCTTTATCGTCAGGTATTTTGTACGTTATTCTACCATTCTTATCAGTTACTTCGGTTGATAAATACGTCCATTCCCCTGCCTCCTTCATAATATGAATGTCTACTTTCTCGCCTACAAAAATCAGTCACGTTCGTTAACAAATTTTGCAAACACAGGTATGCAGCTGAATTTGAAATTAGCATACCTGTTAAAGCGATAACGTCGATTGGACCGTACATAAATCTAGCGACCAACACTTGCGGTGCACCCTCCCTAACGATTACGTCATTCGCTCTATGATTGGCAGCGCCGTTCTAAAATAATTAATAAAATCTCAGAAGCTCGTATCATCAATTTCTGATCATCAGCTTACCTTAATTTTAACAGAAGTACGTTTCTTATTCCACTTTTCTCTAGGTTGACCTGGACGGAAGCACGTTAATCCTTTCTCCTCGTTTGTAAGCAATGGCTGATCGAACCCGCCTAATTGTCGTAAAATAAATGCGATAACGTCGGAGGATTCCCAATAGCTAGCGTGAAAAAGATGAGGTAAAGCGTTTGTAGGGAAATTTGCTAATCCCTCCGGGCAATAGAGAGCGTAATCTAATCTCTTCGTACCCCACCACTTCTGCGTCACTGAAACGAACCGTTCATATTAAACGTGTCTGATTCATTCTTATTAGCCACTTTATCCTATGTACTTACAATTCGATACTACTTGCAAAGGAACGTTTTCGACCATACCAGACATTGTACTGTGAATCGATATATCGGACAGCCGTCTCAGCTGAGGTATCGATATGTTCGGAATGTTTAATCCGTCCGTAAATAATTGAGGATTCGATTGTATTGCTTCCACTGAAAGTATTTTATTATCAGTTATTTCTTATCTCGCTAACAAAACTGCCCTGAGCGTATGATACGTACGCAAGTGATAGGGCTGACCGTTTCCTAATGGATACTTCTGGTACCGAGCTATGTTCACGGGTGGAAGAAGAGAGAATCTCGCCGAGATCAACGGCTCCAATCTAGCCGCCACTGGATCGGTAGGATGGAACAAGTTGTACATCTGATTCACTAACGGCCTCATAATGTTCAGAGACTTGTCCGAAGAGATTTTCCTGTATGCCAGGACCAGAGCGAGCGGGCTACCAAACATGAAGAAATCTCCTACTTCGAAGTCCAATCTGTTGTGTGAGCTATCACTGAGGGAAGAATAAAAATAGAGTAGAACAACAAAGAATATTGTGAAGATCTCATGCTTGAGCATTGAGGTATAATATTTTACCTTAAACTAGAAGATTTTCGTCTGGGAGAAGGCGCGGTCAAATGTCTGCCGTCCTCGGTGTTATTTTCGATACCATGATTATCCAATATATTGTTCTCGCTGTTATGCCTAGAAGAAGTCGATCTGCACAGAGCGTCGTATGTTAGAATGGCTCCTACCGAGTCGCCGACGAGACAGATCTGACCCATGAAACCGCGACCCTCCTCGCTCCTGATGAAATCGTGATGAACTTGATTCGCCCCGGCTATGACTCGCGACACCGCCTCTTGGTATTCGGTGGTAGAACTGGCAAACAACGGTATGGCACCGATGGGTATGGTATCATGTGTCACCGGAGGTGCGTCCGTGGTGCAAGGTGACACGTCGAAACTGTAGGGACTTAAACTAAAGAAAAAAGAACACACGATGAAAGAGCTTCTTTTCGACGTTAATCAAGGGGATTTTAATACGCGGTTTACCTCGATAGAATACCGAGACCCTCGGTGCAGATCGACGGACAGGAAACGAATCTGATGGCAACGTGACCGACCATGCTAGGATAATGTTGCCGCATGACCGATTCGAAGGCTCCTTTGAACGTCGTAATGTCCGATTTCTTCGCCGTCAATTCGACGTTGGCATCTGAAACGTTTCTCTCGGTGACGAGGAATGTAGAATGTAAAGAAGGGGACCGAGAGAATTACCTAGTACACTTCCGGCATGCATCACGATAAGAAGGACAGTAGTTTTACAAGGTTGATGAGTGGGCGAGTGCTGCGGCGATGCTGGGCACGAGGCATCGATGCTGGCCGAAGTGGAGATTTGCAACCGTTTACTGCTACGTTCACTAGCCATGCGTTGGAGATACGAAGGTGAAAATATCGTGTCGTCTTCAACGAACAAATGTTTATACGTAAGTCGGTTTAAATGTAACGCGAGCTAGGGTTCTCGCTTAATCGTTATTTACCTTCCCTGTTCGCGGTGGTAGACAGAGTGAACGTATTGTCATCCTCTTCTGCTAGAAGATCCAAAGAACTCCATTTAGCTAATGAAGAGTTATCTCCAAAGTCCTCTGTATAATCAGAAATTTTAACATTGTTTATGCATCGTGCCTTTCTCTTTCGAAATCTTTCACTCGCTTAAAGACAGAAAATTCGAAACATGAGAAGTCAAAAAGCGTTTCTTCTTTTAGGTCAGACATTACACAAGGTGGAGAATAGTAAAAGAGATTTTTGTCAGAAAGAACAAGTTTTATTCGATAAAAAGATTCGGTATTACTTGCGTCGATTAACATTCGAGAAAAAGGTTTTGTAGAAAAAAGCAGTTGTTCTTTGCCATGCTGTTTTTTGTCATGCTGTTAGAAATTACTCCTCCTCGAGAAGTTCCATGCTGCTGTTTCGTATGGAGGCTTGTATTGTAATGTAATTGATTAGTTTCCCATGTAAGTGTTAATCCTTGTAAGCAACAAGTTTCATCTTGTTCCGGCCTACAAAGGCATGAATGCAATTACACAATGTTATCTGAACTTATGTAAACGACGAGGCTCTAACACCATTCACACAAACGGTGCATCTTTTTACAGTCCAACAATCGTCTGTATAGGTTCTACTAGAATTCATTCTAACTACGTGTCCTACCTTCGCGTATAATAGGTATAATGAACCCAGCTGCAGTGTGGAATGCGACAGAAAAAACAGAGAGGGTATACATATAAAAAAAACGCCATGCTGTATCCTTCTACTTTACAAAATGCTGATTTTACTAGATTAATCTGTATTTCATATCGTGACGAGAGACAGTGTTTAAGATATCCGTCGGTGTGTCTGTTTTATAAGTTATATTAGACAAACGTTAGTGTATTTCAAATTCTCGAAAAGATTGCTTAAGCATGCTGTCAAGAGAACAAGACAATGACGGTCGAACGTTTTACCTTGGCAATCGAAGAACTCATCATCACTGCCGGACTCGGACTCCCTCACGATGCTTTCGATCCGCCAGTTAGCGAACTGCATGTCGAAACTCTTGCTGGAAGAAGGCGAATTCAACGCCGGTTTGTTCTTCCTCCATCCCTTCTTCACGTCTCCCTTTTCGTCGATAGGAGGGTTCCTACAATAGATTTAATCACGATGAACATCGTTAAAATCATATATAAATAAACTGGTTCTCGATCTTACTTCTATTTTTACCTGAGCTCGGGTATCTCGGTTGGCGAATCCTCGGGACTAGCTTCACCTTCTGAACTAGCAGCCGTGTTGCCCATTTCTGACGATTTTCGAAGGCTCGGAGGGCTCTGGGGATCCTCGTTCTTCTCTATGCTACCCAGAGTCGCGGCTAGCGTCATGGCAACATCGGATTCTTGCGGAGTCGTGGCGTTAACGGACGTCGTTGTTTCCTGGTTCTCATTTGTGGTTTCCTCACCGCTTTCCGCGTTGGCCATCCTCTTCTGCAGTGCCAGTTGTGTTTGCCGCTCGATTTCCCGGATGTCCTCCATGGTCAAACCGTGCCACTCGTCCTGCCAGGCCCAAGCTTGCCTATGGGCTGTGACCATAGTTTTCCGCAAGGCTAAAATGAGTTTTATCTTAACAAGAGTAGAACAATTTGGCTAAATTGAAATACACGAGAAGCAGAGACACTGAAGCCAAAGTGATCTTCGTCGACTGAAATTTTGAAAGCTATTACAATTACTCGTACACTTAACGAATTGATATTTTCTGAGATGTCAAAAAGATTAATTTACTCTATGATGTATAACAAAAAATTAAAGAAAATCACTATAGATTGGATGTACGAAAAAAATAAGAGGGCATAATTTTTAAGTGTTCTATTATTTTAAAATCGATCAGTTTGACATCTGAGGATCCGTGATCCATGCGGTACTGACCTACGTCGTCTATGAATTTCTCTAATTTCGTCTGCACGCCCCAATAACGGAACTCCACGCGGCACAGCTTGTACGCGCACATCAACGACTTCCCGGAAGGTGTCGGCTGTTGCTTCCCCTAAATATGCAACAATTCTAGTTGTATCACGACTACTTCCAAAGAAATTCGTAGAGGAACGAATTGTTACTTTCACGTCGGCCCAGTATTCCTCCAGCCATGATTCCGTGAGTGGCCCTCGGTTAGTCTTCTGCGAGACGTACAGTGTAGGGTCCTCCTCTTTCACGTATTCGGCCGTATACTGATCCTTCACGATGTCGATGACATCTGGGATTTAAATCGAACGATTCGAAGTGTTCAGATAAGTTTTCAAATAAACGTTCAGATCGAATCACATAATTAATAATATAATTGATTAGCTAAATGAATACACGTCAACGATTCAGATGATAAACGTTCGAATCGAGTCAGATAATAAATGTTATAATTGATCGATTAAGTGAATACGCACCGACGACTCTGTTTCTGAGATCGCTGCCGCTGAGCTTGAAGACGTTCTCTTGATACCCATTGTCAGGGAAATAGTACGTTTCTATCTCTATGGAGAACTTCTCGACGAAGGGGCAAGTGTAACGAGTTTTCGTGTAGGGATAAGCGTTCCACCCTTCTTCCTTGGCAATCAGCGCGGACCTAGGCAACAGGCTCTTCAACCAGTCAGGCAGATGTCTGCCCACGTGAAATATCTTGTGGGTGTACTGCCCGTTCCCACCCGGGCCATTACTGTAAGGCTCGTTCACTATGATCTCTACCCCGCTCCCGGCTCCTTGACTTTCCTCTCTAGATTTTTTCTATACAAATCGAGTCCCACGAGAAGAGATCGATTAAAATTCACAGTAATAAATTGACTGAATCTAAGAAGGAGAAGGTCAGAGTGACGGGAATTGGATTTTCTTGAAAGTCGCAGAATTTGTAGATTTCGACACCGAACACAATCTGGCAAAGAATAATCCTAATGCAGGAGGATAGCGGATCGATTTTTTCCCCAATATCCAGAAATAAAAAAATATGGATTTTGTGTTTCAAAAATAAAAATGTCTATATATTAGCACAAATTACTCAATCTCTTGTTTAAAGATGCAACATCAATAAAATGCCAAATAATCATACGTAACTCGTTAAATATCGAAGTTAGAAGGAAAACAACTTTTATTTGAAGCATTTTTCGCAAAGAAAAAGGAAGGTGCTATCACTTTGCCAGATTGAGTTTGAGGTCGAGATCTACAAATTCTTTCCGTAATCCGTTTCCCGTCACCCTGACTTTCTCCTTGTAAGTGCAGTTCAGACATTCGAAAGTGTGATGAATGAACGTGCGAGACTAAATGTTTGCCGATGCATCATCGGTCATTTTACGAGACGTAATTACCGCTATCATGTAAAGTTGAGCGATTCTATACTCCTCCACGGTGAGCGGTATGGGTATCCGATACTCCTTTATCAACATTTCGCCGGCAGTTATTTATCCTCTGTCCACTGTGAAAGACGCTGATCGTTCGAAGACAGCCGCTCCCTTTTTCATGTTCACTCTCATGGCAACATCGGCGGGGACCTTTGGGGGGAAAAAATGAACCAGGATGTAAACGTTCAGCCCTGCTTTAATCGCCGTTCTATTTTTCCCTCGGGGCACGTCGCAGAAAGGAGCTCGTCAACGTAATCGAGATTTCCGCCCGAGAGTACCCGATCGATATACATATACATATTTCCCAGCGATCGACTACCGTCGATCCGTTTCATTAGGGAAAAGGTTCTCACCGCTAATGAGTTTTCATTAAACAGATTCCGCCGCGAGTTTTCGCTTATCATTTTGATTAATGGAACCCGAAGGTAAACACGCGAGATCATTCGCGTGCATCACGAGCGAGGGGAGGCCTTCGCCAGCATCGACTGCCGTGTCTGAAGCACGTCAAATGCTGACCGTTCCGATGCGTCCGCGTCCACTCGCAAATCTGCCACGGGTCAACCGACGTTGTTTAAAGGGGATTAATAATAATGCCAATACTGATAGACAGAGGAGGAAGACGTTTAATAAAAAAAGAAACAAGATTATTGTTTTAATAGTTTTAATGACGGGCTCCAATTACGTGTAAACGTGAAACGCGTGTTACACGCGATCATCGCGTGAAATCCAACGTGAAAGTATGATTCAGAACAGCTCGATGGAGGTAAGGTACCTCGATACGACAAAGAGTAATGAAATGTTGCATAAGACACTTATTTATACTCATTATCGTATACTGAATTATCTTCCTGCTGGAAGAGGAAGAGTAATAAGATACTTCCTACATGACATCGACCATCGTCTTTCATACAATAATAATTAATCATAGTTTGAACTATGACAGAGGTAATCTGAAATTCTATAGACGCGTTTAATAGGAGAGCGACTAAACAGTAAAATAATAAGAATGATATAATATATAAATAAAATGATATATAATAAAATAATAAGAATAAGAGAACGTCCACTAACGTAAATGATTTCGATTGAAACATGACCTGAAATTTTTTTACGTACAATTTCACAGGAGAATAAGAGTAAGAGTGACGATGTCCACAACTTGTCAGTGACAGTTCCAAAACGTATGCAATATTTTCTGAGACTTCTTGCAGGCATAATTTGATAGTAAAAGAATATGAATAGTAGCTATATTGTTCAATAATGTAAAAAAGGGTAAATAATTTCGATTGAATAATCTGGAATAAGAATAAGGGCGACAACAGAACGGTTAGCACGTCTCGTCCCGTATCAGTACGGTAAATAAGAGATAGTAGGTATCTTTGGTAAAATTTTCTCATGATAGAGACGACGTGTCGTTTGAAAACAATCTCATTCACCGAAATAGTGTAGTAGCGACTACGATTGGACCGTAACTTGACAGTTGCGCCGAATCGTTTTTCACGATTGCTCAGCTGACGGATAAAAGCACACCGGTCCTCTCCCTCTCTCTCTCTCTCTCTCGCTCTCTCTGTCGTGGGACTCGTACGGTTCGCTCGCGTAGAACATACTCGATGCCGTATCGATGTACTTACACGTAAAGGGTTTCCTCAACCTTGAGCATCGCGGAAATAGGGCAGAGGAACGGTCCCACTGTCTCGCTCGCTCCCTGTCACCTTTTCTTTTCGCGCCACACCTTAAGCGAGCGACGAATCGCGGGAAAGACCGGTTCGCCTCGGCTACCAACTAACGAGGTTTTACACGTTAACGGGCCAGGTGTTAACTACGCGACATTAAAATTCCGTACGGCTAAAGAGCACGTAAGAGTACTTGGAAGAGTCGAGTGTCAATGCCTCCTTTACGTAGTGAAATTACATGTATTCACGCGCACGGTACACTGTCACAGTTGAAAGTCCAAGAGTGGCCCGACGATACCCACGGCACCCGCGCGTACCGAACGACACTTGTTCGCGTCGGAGCGTTGAAATGAAACGAGAGAGGATAGGATCGTTGACTGGGTCGGGTTTCCTTACGATGCAAGGTGGAGAACGATTCGGTTTATCTCAAGCGCGAGGACAGCGATGACACGGCGATGTTACACGGGCAACGCGCGGCCAGTGACTAAAGAACAGAAACCGTGTCCGATTGGCGGCTCCCGTTGGCACGCGCGACTTCTCGAACGCGCGAAATCGAGCTGGACCAACCGGAGCCATCCCAACCGCCCCCGCGACCCGGCGATCCGGACGCAGTGCTGTAAACGAGAGGGTTGCACAGATTCCGTCGAGTATAAATCGTCTATCAAGTTCATTAAAATAACTGATAGATGAACTTCGATTCATTTCGTTGCCACTTATATAGGAGATTCAAATTCATAGAACATCTCGTGACAATCGATGACAGTTAAAATAATTTGAATTACGTATAATGAACAGAATTTTTTTTAATCTGACGTTCGGAAACCGGAGAGCTTCGTACGGCCCTGTAATTGATAGCAGGTGTTTAAGAAAGCAATAAGAATCTCCCGTAGCACGGGGGATGAATAAAACTGGGGTAGCCGAGGGACCGACAAAAGGCGTTGTCGATATTTAATTAGCGGTGCGTTTTGTACGACGTCTTACGTGCCAATAATGAAATAACTGATTTGAAATGCAAATGTTTGAATCCGTCACTGGGTGGACGACCACCGTTAGCCGCCTCCGCCACCTCCCTGGCCTATTGATCGACCCCCGAGCGAGCAAGAAAACGCGAGACCAGATGCGCCATAACACTGCCAGGCTCCCGTGAAGGCGAGACCGACACGTTCGCCGACAGGGTTGCACGCGCTTCCGGTGTCGGAATACCATGCCAACCCCCTGCCGCGCTGCTTACCGACATCAACCCCGTTCCTCAGCATATTTTCACGTTTCTCCATCGTCGAACTCATCTCCCTCCCATTTTCAATGCTCTCCCGATCTCGTATGAGATGTAATATCGGATTCTATCGCGTGTAAATCAGTTATCAATATTTTATAATATGTAAACGCAGCCGTGCGAGATGATACGGAGGAGGTCCATACTTTTAAGTGAGAATATGTTGGCGTGTTTAATGCTTGTAATTGTAATGTAGTAAAAATTCAGAAGTGCACGTCTACACGAGTAGTACAGGTGTGAATTTTTTCAAAGTTCATCCATTATTTATATTAAAAAAAATTCATGAAACTCGAGGACTTGACGTATGACTTGAACTACTTTGGGAACAATTTTTCTCCGTTAGTGAATGAGATAGCTAAATCAAAAGTGGGAGTTAAAAGTTACACCGGGGAACCTCCACCCTTTTATTAACCCACTCGAATTGTATGACGTCCAGGACACGAGACTTTTTGGCATACAAGTCATAGGATGACCTTAGATCGCAACCTTTCGGTGCTCCATATAAATGAATGTAATTGAGATATTTAAATGTTGCATCACTAGGTTAATAGTTCTCATGCAAAATGAAATATTTATGTAATTCACTGAGACACATTTTGGTATATATTATTTATTATCCAAAATCGACGGTGTGGTTATTAGTTCACGATTGGCCCTCTGGTATTTCAATTTAACCGATATGCCACGTGTATAATTATGGACTAGCCCGTGTAGTTATCAGCACCTAATTAAGAACCCTTCCACGACGGGTGGCAAACAAGGTGCGTCACACATGATACACGAATGACTCATCGAAAAATAAAATATAATTATTCGACTGGCTCCTCCGTTATTTGATTATCATTAATTAGAAGGAGTACTAATTGTTACTGATAAGCTTATCTGTTTTTCGCATAGCCGTATTGCACTTCGAATCTTCGCTCGAAATAGTACAGTGTGAGCTGTGGCATAAAAACGAAAACCACTCACTATTCAGAATAGAGAATGAACGAGGCTCGGTTATTCTTGCGCGACACCTATTTCAAACGCCCTTTTTTCATACTTACTCTTCTCATAGCGTGTGAAAGAAAGGTTGTTAAGAAGAGACGGCGCTAGGTATTAAAAATAACGGCTCAATAAACGTTATTCTAGAAAGCTGATTATGCTGATCAGATATCGTTATCGGATAGAAAATAAGTAAAGCGGGACGTGTAATTGTTGAGTCGAACTTACAGCGCGTAATAGAAGAACTCGTTCTTGAACGGAGCAAAAAGTAACGACGATATAATTATGCAAATTCAGATTTCTATATTGAAGGAACTCGAGGTTCTAGAATTCGTTACTTGTTCCTTGCGCAGTTCGAGTATTTTTAGAGTTAAACACGGACGAACATCCGTAGTTTATTGACAAATTATAATACAAATAAAGAGGCGGAGTCTATAGAAAGCAGAGAACAAGCAGAAAATGAAGAGACAGAGGGAAACGATTAAATGTTAAAGAAACTCGTTAACGAAGTAAATTCGTATATAAAAAAACGTGTCTGTACGATTCTATTAAAATATGTAAAGTCGAATCGAGTCGACGTCCCGAGCGAGCGACGAAGAAACGGCGACCTTTGACATTAGCTGAGAAGACTCGCCCGTTTGAATCCCCTCGGCCCTCTTTCAATATTCCTTGCTGTAAATCAACAATGTTACCGGCGGCGAGCGCGGCCTATTTACCAGAGATGAAAGCCCCGAAAAAAACGAGTATCAAATTCGTCCATCAAAAGAATAGAGGATTGCGGAAAGTTAGTGACGCGCGCTACTCTTCGCGAGTCGGCACAAAATGGATCGCTCGATGGACGGTGAAAACCGTCCCCCTTTGTGCACAGAAACGACGTATGAAAGACATTTTTATGAATAGTCAAGCACGTTTCGATTCTCGCGGATTAAATCCGAGGACTTTTTCCGACTCTTCGACCATTCAAGGATAGAATACCGTCCAATTCTCCTTCGAACAACAAAATAATGCTCCGCGATTCATTTCATTACCCTGAACGAGCATCTCGCCAGTTTGGCAGTACGAATATAGATATACGAGCTGAGCAAAGATGTCCAAGTCGCGAATGGTCATCGTAAGTACACGTTTGCTGACGTCAAAGCACGTCGCTTTGGAGGAGAGTGCCGGCACATGTACACATAGTGACGTAAGCAGAAAATATCTCCGGGCAATGGACGAGGAGGGCAGAAGATGAGGCTCGCTCGTAGCGATGGGCTCGACGCCGTTCTTAATTGCGAGCCTCGCTGGGAATCTTCATGGAATACCCATCGCTACCCACCGTCGACCTACCCGCTGGAGGATCCACGCTCGCGGAGATCGAGTCGTTCCGTGCAATGCAAACATCTGGAACCCGCTCCTCCGCAGACGTCGTTAGAGAGACGAGAGGCGCCGTTAGAAAACGAGCGAGTGTGCGACGACGACTCGTTACGCTTTTATCCCCTCGAGTAGCTCGTACAATCGCGGCTCGAACAGAACCGAAAGACAGAAACATGATCTTTGATCCGTCGCAAAGGCTCACAATGGTTCTCGTGCGATTTATATATTAGAGAGGTGCGATAAAACTATTTTATGGCTTGGTACTGTGGAATTTATGAACTATGAAACCGAGCGCGTGACAAATCAAACAAGTAAACAGAGATAAATTGCACGTAAGCATGATCCGCTATAAATTGTACGATATCAGATTGGGTTTACTCTTGTTCGTTTCCTTTCCCGATCGAAAGAGATGTAATCAACCTCTGGGAGGCAAATAAGATTGGACACTGCGTTCGTCTCCGACAATTTTTATATTGGAATAGTCTGATATTAAAATGGGTATCGAAGCTACAAGAGTCGCAGCCAGTCGGCCAGCAATAATCTCAGCGTTATTTTCATTGGTTCACCGGATACAGCGTATCCGGTCTTTGAACAACGTGCGGTCAGGAGTGAGTATACCTATAGCTACTTCCAAGAGGAAACATATAGAAAACGTAATTTCACGTTCCGTTTCAACGTTTATTGCCTTACAATAAATCGTGGGATATTTACACGTTACGAAAACAATTTACGTACATATCCTTTGAACCGTTCAATTTTCGGACACGAGAAACGGAATACTCATGACCAGACTACGGATTTGATTTTTTTTGTAAAGAAAGTGGGTCTGTGAAAAGTAGAAGGAATGAATCTTATATGGAAAAATGTACAGAACATTCAAAAAGACTGGACTTCGTTCGTGACATTCAGAATATGAATATTTTATTTTGCATAAAAATCCGCAGTTTGCTCGCAGTTGCTTTCGAAAAGGAAACGCGGAATACGTAATTTCACGTTTCTTTATTCTCTTACAATAAATCACTGGACATTTACACGTTCATACAATTTCCGTTCTTAATTTAGACGCAACGTTTCTGGACTCTCGGACGGATAATGTGAGAGCAGTCGTAATATGCTCGATTCTCTTCTTCACTACTTTAATTACATTAATCCGAATTTTCTGGGAGAGCATTTGGATCTTCGATGTCGTAACCGTGCGGAGACACCGCATTCAGTCTGGGGTTGTGAAAGTATGAGCGGTTGCCACCCCATGGGAAAGGCTGTCGAAGGGAGATATTTATAGGGACGAGAAAGGTCTTGTTACGAACTTGTTTAACATCAAAAATACAATTTGACTACTGAGCTGCGTTATATTCGTAGGATAAAGCGAGTGGGAAGGAAAGTATCAAATTCCTGTGGCGAGGGCAAACGATTCGTAGGACTTCGTTAATCGATTACCGCACAAATGGATTACTTTCCCGCGGTGTACAGCGCGGAAAGCTTCGTTAGGTCGGAGAATCAGTATAAAGCTCGGATGTTACGCAAAACTGACCGTAGTTAATCGATTAATTAAGTCTGGGACTAGATGCATGACAGGCAGCGATTCGTATTCAGAATTTCAATAGAGGAAAGCACGCTTAAGGATGTATTGGCTATACAGTCACTCCCAAAAATTTATGCATCTTAGAAAAACGCACTTCCTATAATTAAAAATAAATCAAACGTCGGAAGAACAATGATTTTCGATGAAAAAAAGTTTACTTGTTAACGTTCAATTG